AGCTTTCAGCATGCCCACGAGTTCACTGAATGGCATGTTCTCCGTGTTACTGGACACACTGAGTGCTGATTTGTACCCCATAAACCTCGATGGCAGACACCTCAAGAATTTCTTCACCAGCTTCTTGTCCTTGTATTTCTTGCCTAACACCGCAGCTTCTTGTGCCAGAGCACTCAGTTTCGAACTGAATTCAGAGATGGTTTCATCCTCCTCCATCTTTAGATTCTCAAAGCGAGAAGCAAGCATGTCCTTTCTGGAGTTTTGAACCTTTGTTGTTCCTTCGTACTGCATCTGAAGTATGTCCCATGCTTCTTTGGCAGTCTCAACACCTTGAATCAGCTCAAAAGTCTTCCTTGAAATGTTGGTGTGAATGGTAGTCAACGCCCTTGAATTGTACTTTGCTTTTTTTGACTCTTCTTCAGTCCAACTTTCTTCTGGTTTTGGATGAAAGACTCCGTTGGCATCAGCTACCAGTGGTTCTTCCCATTTATCAGTTACTGCCTTCCATGCCAATGGATCGATCCCTTTGATCATGGATCTGATCCTAGCTTTCCAAAACCCGTAGTTCCCATCATCCAGGATGATCCTGGAGTTGTTCACCATTTCCTTATAGCTCTCCATTTTCTCCGCAGGATCTCACCTGTTTGTAATACACACAGATGACCGTTCTGATACCAAATGAAAATGTAAGAGTAGTAATACGGGAACTAACACAGAACACAACACAGGGATTTTTCTCTTCAAAGATACTTCACTAGTAAATCTGTTTGTAACTTACAAGTATACAGAACCCGATTTAGAGCAACCTCAAGACACGCCTTGATTTGCTACACTAGTCTCACTTGTTCTTGAATCGATACGTGATTCAAGAACCTCTCACCCAAATCCCTTAGCACACTAGCTCACAAAAACTCTCACAGATTTTCGCTCACCCTTTGCTAAGTATTCTCTCAGTTGTGTTAAAACCCTACCTAGTTCTAACACGCCTATTTATACTCAATAGGACTTGCGGCTGATCCTCGCCTAGATTCTCCTTCGGATTACACCAAATCTTCATGAGAATCTTCACCTTCCTTATCTTCTCCTAAGATAGAGGAAACTCGATATTGTCTTCATAGATCCTCCAAGATACTCCAAGCTTCCTATCCACGTCAGCTTCTCATCTCTTGAAGTGTCCAGCACGTCCTGCAGCTCCAGTTCAGCTTCCAGTTCACCTCCACGTGTGTAGATTGCTACGCAAGTCTTCCCGTGTCAGTTCCAGAGCTAGTCGGACTACTACACGCGCTGCTCCAGCCTTGTTTGCATCTTCAGATTCCAACCAACATTACCATCTTGCTCATGTTCCTGAGACCAGCAGAAGAATTGGATTGAGAACCATATTTGTATAGTGTGCTTTAGACCCTCCCAAATAAAAATGTTTATTGAAGAAACTTATACATCCATTTTGAAAAGCTCTGTTACTGGTAACTGGTAAGTTAGGCGAATCTTTTAGCAACCGGACAAGGACATTCAACGAATACTCTTGGCATATACAAATCTTCAGATGTTCAAGCTCGTTGAAGACAAAACCATCACCACATAAATCATGCGCACAATATTAAAATCAAAATATTCTATGAATGAGATTCAAGACTTGCAATTGATGAATGAAACTGTAAGAAACAATCATGAAGTTGCATAAACTTAGTGTTATTCCAAGTGCCACAAAAGAAATCAAAATTTTTGTTACAAAGACTTGAGAGTTTCAATGTGATTCTGAAAAGTATGGAGCGGATAGAAACGTCCATCTCCAACTCCCTTAAACTCGACTTTTCTAAAGCTGTTTTTCTCCGGATCATAAAATAATATGTACAACGATTTATAAAACCCATTTAGTACATATACAAACCCACCAGCATGAGTGAAGCCATTAAAGTGGAAATGGGCTTCCAAACTCGGATCATAGTGCTGGAAAGGTGCATGCAAGTGTTTACACGACCACTCGTGTTTCTCTGCATCCTCCAAAATCTACAATGTAATACCACCATCTAGGTTATAGTGTACGAATAATCAAGACGGGCTTCATAATACACAACCCCATTGATGCAACGATCATAAGTATAAAAGAAAGAATGATGCCTATGGTTAGTTTTGTCAGTTCTCCATAATTCTTGATCAGCTGATCCCAATGTTAAGACCCTACTTTCATCGATAAATTTTATGACGAGGCATGCACATTACCTTGTGTTTGTCTTCGATTGGATCGTAGCCTAAACAACATTTTATATCGTCCCATCTTCCTTCGGGTTTGGGTAAGGGTAAGAATTGTCTCATGCTAGGGTTCCATATAATGGGGTTTCCTGAGCCTTGGAAGCAGATCAAGCACACTGACAAATTCCATTGGGGACAAGTACTTATATTCCTTCATATAATAACCACCAGTAGGCTGAGAACAAGTATAAGACACGTTCGAATTCTGATGATCTTGAGGAATCGAGAAAACGAACAAGTTGTCGTCTTTTTTGAAGAACGTCAGAACACTCAGCTGTGTTGAGTGGCGAGTTTTGAACGACTTGGTGAAACATGGATCGGAGTGATTGATGACCAAAACTTTGATACGCAACGAAATCTCACAACAGATTTTGCAGGTAGCCTTAAGAGTATCTCTGACGTTAGATCTAGAGGAAATGACGATGTTGGTTTCGATTGTTTTGGTGTTTTTCTGGGGATTTTTCTCTTCTTTTCTTCTTGTTGCTCCATCTTTAGTGAAAACCCTAATTTGTTCCCTCTGTGTCGCTTCCTCTCCATGATTTCGTTTATATGTATATATATATATAATGTATGTACATTATATATATATATATATATGTTAACATTTTTGTCTCTCTTTTATTATATAGTTTTAATATCTTATATATTAAATGAGAATGTAGTTTAATGAAAAAATCCGATTTGTTTTAATTTAATTGGCTTATAAAAGCTTTCTTGCCAACGTCAATGATGATGTTTATTCTACATCAAATGTGACATGGCAAAGGCGCTACCTCTGCACAATTTTATTGGATGCTGATGTTGATGTGTAATTTTTGTCCATTTAAAAAAAAAAAAATCATAAACGGATAAACACTCGGATCTTTATACCCTAGCATATAATTCTATCATAGTTTTACTTCTATGGATGTAGAAATTGATTATTCTGTTCAAAATACGTATGGAATGTATTATTTCAAGATCCACGGTGAAAATTATCATCTTATAGGGTCTGTACTACCATGTGATGGTGAGCACCAAAGTTCTATCAAATGTATATCTAATACAGCTAACAAGTTCAAAAATTGCCAAATATCGCACAATTAAGAATTTGTTAAGCCAATATAATATGTCTAATGATATATGATGTAAATTCAAGACAATTTTAGGTTTTCGAAAGATAATGTTGACTTAAAATGTATCAAAACTATTTTTAATGGTTTGAAATCTAAATATTTTCCAAATTTTTAACAGATCATGGTAAATTTGAATTTTTTCATATAAGATTTTGTACTAAAATTTTATTCTCTTTATTTGGAGATTTTAACATTTTATATCATGATGATGTTTTTAAAACTTTTTATTTTAAAAATATATCTATCTACGTTTGAATTCTATCAATAAAATTGATCATGTTGGTTATAATAATTGTATAGTGGTCTTTTATATGAATGTATATGTTGAGTTATACATTGTTATGTTAATTGTAAACTATGAACTCAAATAGAAAAATCTGTTATTTACTTTGTACGGCTTCGTTCGTTTTGTATCTTTATATTTTTAAAAGTCATATCTATTTATTTTTTATAATAATACTTATTTTTTTAAAAATAGAATATTTACATCTAAGTATCATCACCTTTTGTTATATGTATGTTTACTTATAAGTATTTAAAATAAATAATAGTTTAATATACCGTATTTTCTCTGCGGCTTGAGACCTAGTTAAATTAAAAAAAATAAGTATTAAAGACAAATTTCTTTGAATCAACTTGATTATAATGCTTTCTCTCTGTTTATATATTCTCCAGCTGCTAGAGGTAAGTGTAGAAAACGGAGCAGACTTCACAGGAATAAAACGTTGGAGTTAAAAAGGAGCGTCTGTTGAATCTACATGAATTTGAAGCTTTTTTTTTTTACAACTCGGGGTAAATCTTAGCCTCCGACTAATCTATAGAGAGGTGCATTGCATCCTATAATAAACCTTCTCTCCCAATATTCAAATGGGCTGAAAACAAGAGTCTATATTTATGTAAGTGTCAAATTGTAGTTTCGCATACCACAGATTGAAACGTGCTAGCGTTTCAACTTCTTAACACTTGACCACGAAGCCTTGGACAACATGAAGCTTCTTCAACAACGGGTCCTCTTGTGGACTGGGACGGCCTAGCTCCTGATTGGTCTAATTAGCATCTAACTGGACCATCGAGCTCCGACATTTTTGACCCAAAAATGTTTGAAAAAACATCACACTGTACATATACGATTCTTTCACTAATTGTGAATCCGTGAAAGTTGTGTTCTTTGTTGGATATGATTCTTTTGAGTCACTGAAAGCTACTGTACATATCTGGTCGGAAATAAAATAAATATATTGGCACATGCATAGTACGTGCTCCCCCTTGTGCATTCAAGGTTTTGGATTATTTTTTTTTTTTTTACTTTTAGATTTAATAAATAACTTTGGTAATTAGATAAAATCATATATTAAGAAATGATAAAATAATTATTAGAAAGTCTGCAGAATAAAAATTAATAATAATCAAAATTGTTTCAAATGTTACAAAGAGACGAGACTCTCAATGTGATTTGAGAAAGTATAGATCGGATAGATTCCACGGTTTCCAAGTCCATTACTGAGCCTCAATTCTTCATCTGCGATTTCTTTGAATTCGAATTTTTTTAGGCTGTTTGCCTTCGTATCAAAATAGCATATATACCAGTAAGAATCTGTACGAATCTTCCGTGGCACAAACATAAGTTCACCAGCATCAGTCGTACCAGCTAGTTGTACCAGCTAGTTCAGAAAATACATATTTTCTCCAATCATAATAGGTACAAACTGCAAAGTGTTTAAACGACCACTCGTGTTTCTCTGCATCCTCCAAAACCCACAATTTAATACTATTATTTATTTGCCGAACATAAGCTAACCTCCCCTTATAAGGTATCAGCTTAGCCCCAACAATGATGTCCAAGTTCGACGGTAACTGTATCATACTGAACTTTTCAGATTTGACATCAAAACTCATTACAATGGGAATATCTGTATGCTCAGGCAAGGAGGCTTCATAATACAGAACACCGTTGATGCATCGGCCGTGACGGCTAGTTAAAGGACAATGTTTATGGTTGGTTTTGATACTTCTCCATGATTCTTTAGCTGATCCCAATGTTAAAACCCTAATCTCGTCGCAGGTTTTCTTACGAGGCATACACACTAGTTTGTGTTTGCCCTTGATAGGATCGTATCCTGGAAAGACTGTTATATCCTTCCACGTCTTTTCTGGTTTGGGTAAGGTTGAGAACTTTCTCATGGTAGGGTTCCAAATCACGGGTTTTGCTAGTTTTCGATTTCGAAAGCAGATCAAGCCGTTGACAGATTCCGTGAAGGAGAAGCAACAGTTTTTCGGGAACGCCGTGTGATAAATATCCACATGCCGAGAAGAAGAATGAGGCTCTTTCTGATGATGTTGCGGAATTGAGAAGACAAACAACGTGGCTCCTCTTCTGAAGCAGACTAAAAGACTTGGACGTGTTGAGGACTGAGTTTGGAACGATTTGTTGAAATATGGATCGGTGGTGATTGATGACCAGAGCTTGGAAACACAACTAAACCTCAAGACATATTTCGCAGGCAGCTTTGAGAGTATCTCTGAGGTTAGATCGAGAGGAAAAGATAGTAAAATTTGTCTTCTTCTTTTTCTTTGGATTTCTTCAGTTGTTTCTTCTCGTTTCTCCATCGTTTGCCTAAACATAATTCTATCCCTCTGTACTTCCTTTTACTTTTCTCTTTCTAGTTTATATATATACTAGATTTTAACGTCCGCACGGGAATTTTTTATTTTTAATTTCTAATATAAGTTGCATTTATCTTTTTTGTTTAGATATAATTTATTTTTGTTATTTATTTTTTTAAATCAAAAAATTGTTATCATATTTTAATTTTAAACTGTAAAATTTGTATATTATTAAAATAAGAGTATACGTTAATTAATTATACATTGATCTAATGTTAATTATAAACTTTGTTATTTTGTGAATTTAGATTTACACATAAATAATCTATATATCTATGAATTTGCTAATCCATCCGTTTAGTTGTCTTAAATCATTTTTAATATCTTACATGTTTTGACAAACTAACCCGTATAAGATTATAATTATAATTATATAACCCTATAAATATTTACTAATATGGAATATTTGGACCAATTGATTATGAAAAAATATAATAAGATATTTATTTACCATTTGTGCTATTAAAAAAAAAAAAATATATATATATATATATATATAAACGGGCTAACCTGTTAGTTTAATTGTCTCAAATCATCTTAATATCTTATATGTTTTAATAAATTAACTCATGGACCTTAAATATATATATATATAACTCTTATCAGCTCGATCATATTATTGTATAATATAAAATATTTATTAATCTCAAATATTTGATATTTTAAACCGATTGTTTATGATAAAACACGATAAAATATTTATTTACTATGTATTTTTATAAAAATATTATTTAAATTTAAAATTTTAAATTAAATCTTTCCTGTATTTAAGAAATTCTAAAGTATTAAAATTATTATCTAAATTTTCGTAATAAAATTTAATTATAATTTTTTTTGAATTTTTTGAATTTAAATTAAATTGAATGCAAATTTTTGTAACTAAATTTAATTAAATTTCTAATAATTTGAATTTAAATTAAAGATGATCTAGATTTTAGGAAATCTAAAAATATCTAAATTAATAACTAATTTTCGGAAATTAAATATAAAAATTAAATAAAATATTATAAAAAAAACTTTGGGAGTGTTTGAATGCAAGCACTAAATGTGCTTCTGTTTTAATAGAATAGATATATAGTCTCTGTTTCCTTTACGTATTAGTTATTATAATTTTAAAAATAAATAAATAACTAGAAAGTTTCCATTTTCTTAGCAAAATGGAAAGAAATGACTAGCAAATTTCATGGCTACCTTTATAATTAGGATTGCCCGGTCCAGTTTTCAGCTTGGATGTTTTTTTTTTTGTTTTTCCTTTTGTTAGATTTTTAGATATACAGTTCATGTATGCATTATTGTTTCAATGGGTCAATACAACAAAATTCAAAAAAAAAATATATCAAACAATTAAATGTTATAGGGTCATATGATTCCCCTCTATTGTACATCCGCCATGATATTAAATATAAAGATCAAAATAGCTCAACCTAAAATACAATATTGTTTTCCATATGGTAGGAGAGCAAAACGTATGTACGCAAGGAAAAACAATATACTGATTTTAGTACAAAACAAGCTTCGATATTTTCACTAAGTAACCAAATATTACAGTCGATGATTTATATAATTTTAAGAAAGCGGTAATGGATCCGATATGCTTCTCGATATAAGGAAAGCTAACATATACATAAGCCTCCCTCAGCTTAGGCATTTTCTCGATAAAACAGTGGTGACTCTTTAGTATAATAATACTGAACTTTATACTACTTCAAAGAAAGGATTTTTTTTTTCTATAACAATCCAATCTAAATCATTAGGTATATCCACTACCTTGATTTTTGAATTGGTATCGTTAAAACAATAAAACCAACACTCATCGAAGGTTTTCATGCAAACTACAACTTTCTGTTTGCCTTCGATTGGATCGTACCCTAAAAAGCATGTTATATTCTTCCAGTTTTCTTCGGGTTTGGGTAAGGTTAACAACTGTCTCACGCTAGGGTTCCAAACCATCGGCGTTTTCTGGATCTTGAAAACTGATCAAACCGTGGACAGATTCCGTAGGGTACAAGTAACTGCATTGTTCTGGGAATTCCATAAGATAACGAACCATATTCGATAAGCTTAGAAGAAGTATAAGACGACTCGTTCCAAGCCTGTTGATGTTGCGGAATCAAGAAAATAAACATCTTGTCATCTTGTTGGAAGCAGGGTAGAAGACTCGATCGGACTTGTTGAGAACAGTGTTTCGAACCATTTGTTGGTAAAATATAGATCGGTGACCAAATCTTCGAAACATGAAGACCGATTTCGTAGGTAGCTTGAAGATTATATATATCTAAAATTAGATCGAGGAGAAAAGACGATGTTGATTTTGAGATCGATGAAGCTTGTCGTCTTTGGATTCTTTTAGTTTTCTCTTCATGTTGCTCCACTGTCTCTTAAACCCTAGTTTGTTCCCTCTCTGTTATTTACTCTACAAGATTTCGTTACATACATGCTCTCTATTTGTTTTATTATTATCAAATTTTATTATTCACTCCAATATGTTTTTCTTCGGAGTTTGTTTTTCCGAAAATTTTCAGATTAAATAGACATTCATTGTTTATTAGATTTATTGTTAAAAAAAATTGTTTAAATTTTTTTATTTCATGCCAACGAAGTTTTAGTAACTTAAAATAAAATCATTTTTTGTTATTTGAGCAAATTGTGATTTTGGAAAGCCATTGCCTCTAAACCAAGGAGACGGGGAGTTTTATGGCCCAAAAGATAGATATAACAGTTTGTGATGAAATGAAAAGGAGGTTACAGTGTGCTAATTTAGAGCTTGATTTTCAACTTTCTGATAGCTAAATACACAACTAAGGATGAAGAAAAGAGGGAGAGACCTGTGATGATACATAGACCGGTCTTGGCCATCTGCTGAGCGTTTAAAGATTATAGAACGGTTTCATTAAGTTTGCATTAAGCATCGTCAGGTTAAAGGATTAGTGTACAGAAATCGATTTACACTGCCCCACTGTTTAAAGGCTTTCCTAACATTTACAAAACAAAACAAAAAAGCCGAGGAGCCAAATCTACTTACCCAAACACTGCCTCATGGTCATCAGAAATAGCCAAAAATATATTTTCTTCCTCCAAGTGTTCTTGTAAAGACCCTCTAAAGCTTATTTAGCAGCATACCAGTTCTGAGCACATTTTGCATCAACCGATAAATCGACCGAGAGAATGTTCTTTCCGTTAAAGGGTTTCGCCATGCAGTTCACAACTATATCCTTGGCTACTTCCGCTGACTCCATTGGTCCTTCCAAGATTACTTCATCGTGAATCTGTTTCCAAGAGAAAGTTCTTTTTTTGTCACTCAATTTTCAAAGGGATTGAGCTTTATAAAAGTTAGAGACTGAATACAGTTTTTGAGAGGTGTTGTTACCTGTAGAAGCAATTTCCAACCAAGCTCCTTCAACTTTTGATTTGTCGATATTTCCAACATTGCACACATTGCAACATCTGCTGCACTTCCCTGTAGTGTGGATCATCGATGCTTAGAGTTGAGATTGGCGAATAGCAAGAGGAAATTAGTATCTGATAAAAATCAAAACGAACAAAACGAAAACCTGCACTGGAGTGTTGATGGCTGCTCTTTTGATATGATTCCTCTGAGCATTTGACTGATATGCCGGGAATCTACGAGCCCTTCCTAACAGAGTGAGTACATACCCATCTTTCATTGCTTCTTTCTTACGCAGTTCTTGCCATTTCCTAACTTCTTGTCTGTCATTGTACCAGAGATTGACTGTAGCCTGAGCTTCTTCCGTTGAGACCTTTTGATGATATAAAAAAAAAAGACATTGTTGTAGCTTCATCACACATCAAAGCATGTATCATATCAACCAATTAGTTCCAATAGTAATATCGTACTACCTTCCAATCTCTAGAAAGCCCCATTGCTGTTTTCCCATATGCAATTGAAAAGTTGAGCATCTTAGCCTTTCTTCTCTCAGAAGCAAAGGCATCCTGAATATAAAATATCCGCAAACAGTCAGAACAACTTGGGCACAAAGAATAGTTTCTCTCTGTACATGACGCAGTTTATGTCAGTTGTTTTAGCATTTCAACGATGGGTTTTACATATTTGCAGAGATTTTAATATATCGTCATCTGCAGACAATCAAAGATTTATGGCTCTTTACAAAGAAAAAATTAAAATCAAATACCAGTTGTAAAAAGAATCCACCTTTAATAAAGGCACTGGTGGCTTGTCTTGCCCAGGTTGTGGATGCCACTCAAGGAGCACTTCCCCATTTTCTACAGCTTTACGAATATGTGGATACATAGTCATGGCTGTCCTCGAGTGGAAATCTCCACCTGCCTTGAAAGCTTCCATCATGCTTTTACAACCAGCAAGATGTGCCAGAATTCTAAGTTCCAGCTGAAGATAGTCAACCAAGAAGAATCACAGTCAACGAGTGAACCGGTTAAACACCACTTATGAAAGTTTCTAAGCAACCAGAGTTTTCTATTTTCACCTGCCCGTAATCAGCCACAATGAGTGAGTTCCCAGGTGATGCTACAAAGGCTTTACGAATCTTGTACCGATCCTTCTCCAAAGCAGGTTGGTTCTAGACAAATGAGGAGAACTTTAGTAACAAAATTGTAGATTGGATTACAAGATCAAGCAGCATAGTTACAGTTGACAAAAAGGATGCAACTTGACCAGTTGACAAATGAATGTAAGTACTAGCTCTTGGTAACACGGCTCTCACTTTTACCATTCTACAATATGCTTACCAGTAGATAACATAGAGAAACTTCCCTATAAATTGGCCTCACCACTCAAGTTGATTCCTCAAATTAGGTTCAAGCAATGTTAATTTGAATAATATCATAAATTTCAATATATACCTGCAAATTTGGCCTTCTAGCTGATAAGCGGCCAGTTTCAGTATTGATATTCAGGGAGCAATGAACGCGACCATCTTTGCCTGATACATTACTCCCCTGTTGGAAAAGAAAAACAATCCCATAAACATCAACCTAAAGGGAAAGAGATAAACAGCTCAGGATTCAGGACAAAGGGGTTTAGAAAAAAATATTACCTGTAACGGAAGGATAAAATTTGAGATCAAAGAATCTATAGAGCAAACTTCACATAATGAGGCAATAGCATGACATGCCTCCTTCCCCCTTTCACCTCCACCAAATGCAGCGTATGCTGTTCCATACGCAGATACGTCGGTTGCAACATCTGCCTTGGACTTCCCCGCTTCTGAAGCTTGATCTAGTAGCTGAGTAGCAGCAGCATCATCATCTTCAGCAATTTCTTCTGCAGTAATATCTGTAACATCCTCCATAAAGTCATACTCAGCAGAAACTTTCCCAGCTAAGGTTTTCAAAGTATCCCCACTAACAGAGGGCCAACCACTGGCAGTGAACGTTTCAGTTAACATTGGGGAGTCGCTAATCCTTTGCAGTTTGATGTTTCGAAACTTCGTCGGTGCTTTTTTGCCTTTTTCAATAACCTTGTCAATATTGGGAATTTTGAAAAGTTTTTCAACTGGAAGCTCCTCATGATTCTCACTGTACAAGAAATTATAAAAGAAAAAAACTTAGTTCCATTAAACTAAACAGTGAGAGACTAGTCATGTAATTCTTGTTCGTTTCCTAATGGGAAATAAATTTCTCATCAAAGTCATTCTGAGGGCTGTATGTGCAGTTTTCGATTTACCAAGGGGAAAGGAACAGTCGTCAATAACATTTTGAATTTTGAAGATAAAGAGTATTAATACGCTTGATCACTGTAATTAAGCAAAAACGTCTGAAATATCAAGATCTTCAATTTAAACCTATACATCACAAAAATTTACGGCAAGTCAAACGTAGGAAACGATACCTGTTAGAAATGCCACCAAAAAAGAGCTGACGCAATTGTGTGTCACTGCCAACATTCATATACTTTGCATCGGGGCAATACTTAGAGGCCCAATTTCGAAACCTACTAACAGCAACTTGCTGTTCTGCTTTGGCTACTTTCTCTATCTCAGCAAGATATTCCCTATCTACAAGTATCCCTTCCGCTTCCATTTTGACAAGAACTTCACCAAAGGGTCGCCAGAACTCATGGTAAAAGTCCAACATTGTCTTTCCTGAGAGTAGCTTTCCATCAAGACGCCATTCCTTTAATTGCAGTTTCTTTGACATGCTCTCGTAAAGCTTTAGCGTGCTTATTGCATCCAATGCAGAGTATGAAATCCAAGCCTCTCGATCTTCTCGCTGAAGCTCTTCAACAGGGGGAATGACTACAATTTTTCCTTCTGATCCATCCTTTTTCAGCTTTCTCTTGCCAAAGATAGTCTTCATTGAAATTTTACCTAGGAACTCTGCTTCCTCCTTTGTCTGTGTTGCCCCAAGAACTTTTGGGTCACTTGTAAGCGCTTCAAGTGAATATCCACCCACTGTCCGCCTCGCAGAATCCCACAATCGTGCCATGTGCATTGTGTCAGCATGAAATCCAGAAATGTCAATCCCATGGTTTCTAATTATGTGGCTATCAAAGCTGTAGTTGTGCCAGACCTGAAACGAAAAAAGCCAACCTATCAGGGTTTAATTAAGGATAGTCAAAAAGTCTTCACATGAAAACAGACAACACGAAAATGGAAAAACGAAGATTTTTACAAGGTCCTGGTTAGCTTAATGCAAATGTCACAGAATATGAAGAGAAAGGGAAATATGTTTTGAAACTCACTTTTTTTATGGATGAGTCTTCAAAATAGGGTTTAAACTCGGCCAACACCTCCCTGCCATTTTCACCAAGAACATCTACCCAAATGCAAGATTTCCCATAGCCAAAATCTGCTTCTGAACCGCAATAGATACTGAAACAAATCAATTCACCATGGTCAACAGGTGTTTCCTCCTTCACCTCAATCTTGGACACCTGTAAGCATCGCAAAATCAGCAAGTTACAAAGCATTACAACCAAAAATGCCAATTCTGTAAGTGTTTCTGAGCTGTGGAGATGATCTTAAACAGAGAAGTAAAGCTCACCTCTGTATCACAAGCATGAACAAGATTCCTATAATCATTCAGAAGCTTAGACACAGCATCCTTCGCAGCAGGCACATTATCAACAACAACAACCTTATCATATATTTTCCTGAGTTTCTCACGGACTTTCGAAGGTTCAGTGCTTTTCTCCACTTTGGAAACCGTAACTGGTTTCTCCTTGCTTACGTTATCAGAAGGCTTTCCGTTTATAAGAGGTTTCTGTTTTCTAACACCTTTAAGTTTCACATCCACGTTTGTCCCAACCTCCACTTTGGAAATCGGAACTGGATTCTCATTGCTTACGTTATCAGAAGACTTTCCGTTTATAAGAGGTTTCTGTTTTCCATCTTCTTTAAGTTTCACATCCACGTTTGTCCCAACCTCCAGATTCTTGGTTAAAGTCATAACAGGTACAGATTGCAAAAGGCCAACCGATTCTTTATGGAGTGTAGCAGTACTGTTAACTCTGGGCTTGAATCCATAATCAATCTTCTGAGAGGTTCCATAGGAAGGAGCATTAGGTATAACTGGAACAGAGCCATTGGAATAACAAGTGTCATCGAGGTTTCTAGCAATTTGGCCATTCCTTTCTCTAATCTTATTAGCTTGCTCCCTCCAACCACTTACAGTTCCAGGAACTAGATGGTTCACAGTTTCACCAACTTCCGTCTGATTTCCCACTTTGTATATCTTGGGAACCATCCTTGCCTTATTAGGTTCCGACAGAAGTACCCACTCTCCGTCAAAAACAGCAGATGATGAACGTTGATGACCCGAATGCTGGAATCCATGACAAACTGTCGAATAACCGACATTTCCTTCTGTGGAAGCTACTTTCCTGCAATCCACAGCATCAGAATAGTATCAACAGGAAGAAAGAGCTTTCAAACCAAAACCCACAAGAACCAAATCAGCCTAAAACCCCCACAAACAAAAACCGAAACAGAGCAGACTAAGTCTCCACGAACCCATCAGCTAAAACTTGAATAAAGACACGAATAAGTTCTTATCTCTCCTGAATTTCATGTGGAAGCTTGAAAATCATACCCACAAAGAACAATTGAGCCTAAATATGTACAAAATAGAGCATAATGAACCGATAATCAAGTAAAGCCTCAACATACACATCAGCTAAAACCTTGAACAAAGACACGAAGAAGAAAAAGAAAGTACATACCTTTGAAGGGTTCTATTACGGCAAGGCACGAGGAAGGAAGGTAGTGAAGAAGAATATCGCGACGAACGCAAAACCCAGGAAGAGGGAGGAGATAAGTGGCGAAGAAGAGGGTTATTGTGGGAGGTAAGAGAAACCCCCATGGCTAAAAGCGAAGTTAATCTACCCAGCTTGAAGAGAGTGACTCTTCGCAGCAGAAGCGAAAAGATATAGTAGGGTTTATGGTGGCGAATTTTGTCGTTTCAAGCAAGTGGGTCTGCCTGCGAAGGAAAGATTGTGGCCATCGCTTGAAGACGCAGTGCCAGCCTTAAACCCTTGTCTCTAATTAATTATCAAAATTGTTAATTTCTCTATACTAAAGATAAAGATGCATTTTTTCTCTGTAAAGTTTCGATTTTTTTAAATAAAAATTAAAAGAAAAACCCACAAATATATAACTATATAGCCCTTGCTTTCTTTCTATGTTATCACATTAAGCCCTAAAGTATAATAATTGACCAACAAACCCCTCTCTTACCAATGTGACGCTCCACTATCGTTACGAGGTCGGTTTCTGTAGAAATACAGCATGTTGCTACATGATATGGTTTATATGATGATTATCATGCAAAATAGATATATAACAGGCATGTTCTTATAATTGTAGCTTGGGACAAACACATCGACATAACAAAACGATTTGTGATGGAGACCAAAATCAGAGTAAAATAAAAGGAAGTTTTGAATTTTAGTATCATTGGTGAAGGCAATTACCAGTATATCGTTAATTATATCTTCGTCGAGGATCATCTTTAGCACAAGTATTTCCTTATGTCATTGTCTCATGAGTTGCAGCGACTTATAGACGAACATGTCCATCATAATTGCTTTTGATTATTAATTAGCGGTGGATTTGGATTCTCCATATTTGACATGTTTTCCGAAGCTCTCATGCCATGCGACATTTTCTTTTCTATTTTGCTATAATTTTGCGATTTGGACCCCAAAAAAAAAAAAAAAAACATTTTGAGGTTTTGGCTAATTTATGTATACGTTTATATAGACTTTTATAACGTGTTAGAACTAAATTTAAGAAGAAGAAAAATGATAGTTTGACCTCCCAAAAAAAAAAAGAAGAAAAAATCACATTTTCTTATTATTTTTGGAATCGATGAGCACTTTTTTAAAACGAAGTATTTGAATCCGTGAAATGAAATTAGAGAGAATTACTTCACTCTTTAGTGAAATGAAATTAGAGAGAACTACTTCACTCTTCTCTATAAATACACGAGTGCGTTTTTTTTTTCAAAAATCGGATTAGACCCGCTTGCAATTTCGTTAACTCTCTCTGACTTCCACACGGCGGCGATGGTTATTATCTCTGAAATTCCCGACGAATCCAACGACGGCGATCCGAGCAAGAAACCGCAAGAACCACCCAACCCGAGCCAGGAACAGCCACAACTACCCAACGAACTCATCGAACTTTGCGTCGCGCGCGTCTCGAGATGTGATTTACCGGTAATATCCCTCGCCTCCAAAACATTCCGCCGTCTCATCCGTTTGCCGGAGTTTGAACTCACGCGCTCGAAGCTCTCCATCACCGAACGCATTCTTTACGCTTTGATCGGATTCCCTCCTCGCGAATTCCCAAGCTTTTACATTCTCTATCGACAAAATCTCTCCTTGCGATTGCGCAGAGTCGAATCTCTTCCTCCGATGCATTTTGGCTCCGCCGTCGTCACAATCGGGCCGGAGATATACTTAATCGGCGGATGCGACGCCGACGGCCAAAGAGACACAACGGATGTGTTTCTCATCGATTGCAGAACCCACACGCGCCGCTCGCTTCCGAGTATGAAGGTCCCTCGCTGCCACGCAGCCGCCGGAGTAATCGACGGGAGGATTTACGTGATCGGAGGTTGCAAGATGCGATCTTTGAATTGGGTCGAATTGTTCGTTCTAAAGGAGCAGACTTGGATTGGAATGAAGAGGAAGAAGAAAATAGACGTTGATATTATCGATCGACAATTTCATTTTGTGGCATACGCGGTGATGGAAAAGAGGATTTACGCTTTGGATCGAGAATGCTGTTTTACTTTCGATCCCAGAAATTCTAAATTGTTACCAGTGGCCAATGGAGATGAATTGAGGAGCTTGTGGCAAAGCATCGTCTTGTGTTGTTGATGATAGGCTCTACACGATTGATCCCTTTCGTAATCTTGGACATCCCATTGTCGTGTATGATCCAAAGGACGGGAAGTGGAGGCCTGTGAGAGGTGTGAATGGTTTGCCTTGTAACGTCTATGGGTATGCTTATGAGTCTAAAATGGCCAATCTTGGAGGGAAGCTGGTGATTCTGGTCAATAATCAGAGCCAGTGGTGGGATTACAACGGTGAAAAGCAGATCTGGTGCGTGGAGATTGCTTTGGAGACACGTCAAGGAGGTGAGATTTGGGGGAAGCTAGAATCAGTCGATCTTGTGCTCACGACCATCAAGTCCCCGCCTTTGATCGAGCTTTGTCAAACTGTTACCGTTTGATGATGGTTTCTTGCAGGTATGTTTCTGTGATTGATTGAATCGATTCTGATGTTTAAACCCCCTCAAGGATTCTGATGGTTATGCACTCTTTCATCATCTTGCAGATGTTTAGGCAGCTTGTTGAAGCAGAGTGGCTAACAAGTTGTTATCTGACGCCTTATGCAAGAGTAACTTGTCCATTTTCATTTTTTTGTGAAGTGTAGATTTCTGTTAACTGTAAAAAGAAAAGGGTAGCTAGGTCATTCTTGTAGACTTGACACATATTCTTTGGAGACTTGTTGAGAGGCATCTTTTGTTAGCTATCTCTTGGGTTTTTGTGTAGTTTCACTAGCTAACATGTTCTAAAGTTCTTTTTGTTTGTTTTGTGATTTTATGTTCAGGTATATAACAAAACCCAATTCGCTTATACCTAATGAAAAATATGAAGTTTTTACCTATAGGTACTACAAGTACCAGCTCTAAAATATCAAGTTGACTAAAAGTCAAAATGACAACCGTCAAAGACTTGAATTTAATATTTGTTGACTCCATTTGAAACAGAGATACAGGACAAATGAGGGTTTCTAAGAAGAAAATAGAGAGAGTTGTGACTTGTGAGTAACGTTAAGAGACGTTTGGTTACTCGATTTAAATATTTGACCGTTCTTGTGAATTTAGAGATCACATTCATACTTAACAAGATCCATTGTACTTCTAGTATATGAAATCTTGGTTTAGATATGTGAAGATGGTCTGGGAGCAAATCACAGTGTTTTACCAGAAATTAATTTTCATTACCTATTTGCATGATTTTCTGAAATCGTCTAGTTTAGAGAATACCTTTATATCAGCATCAACATAGACTTTTGTCACCCGACTTTTGTCGCGGGCCATGACATATAGCCTCTTCTAGCAGTAGGATTCTTCTATATCTTGTTTCTGATATAGTAGAAGACTTAAAAGTCTCATGACTGTGAGTTTTAACTTCTATGCGCAAAAGAAAAGACTTCCTGCTTGTAGGAAACATGAAACATTGAGTTGTAATTCAGATGGATAGTATGTAATGTGTACACAAAACTAGTAGTATTTTGATATTAGTCAAAACAAGGGAAAAAACGAAAGTCTTTGGTCTTTGTCTACTGAACAACTCATTGGCTTATAGTTATTACAATTTTGTTAAAGAATAAAACTGATTAAAACACCAAAATTGATACATACTTTGCGACCACACCAAAATAAAATCCACCCAAGAGAAGTTGACACTGTTTTAGAAGAGGTCGAATTGGACAAAAGTCTTGTGGTGTTCAACTAACAAGTAACTTAAGCTGCAGTTATTGAAACAGATCGAGTTTCTCTCATTCATGGCTGAAACTGAAACTTGTAATGTGCACCATTTCACAGGTCTGGTGTCTATACAGGTATATTACAGGTCTGGAGTATTGGATAGTAATTTACAGGTAACACATTTATCTATACATGTCATATTGTACTCAATCAATTTCAGATCGATCAATGAGCGGATCAAATTGTTGTCATTGAGTTCTTTGACATAGTTGTGAGTTTTTAAGCATACGGAAAAGAAATCCATTAGGACCACACACAAGAAAAAAGCCTACTTTATAATAAAATACTCATTTCATTCAATTTGAGGTTTAACCTCTTACACTTTGCAAAAGATGTAAGATCAGGCGTAAGTTGACAAAAAAAAAAAAAAATGTAAGATCCAAACATAATGGACAAATTCCTAGTAAGTAGCCAAAACGAAAGAGTTAATCTGCACCAAAAGCATTTTTAGGCAAAGCCAAAAAGTCGAAAAAAATAAAACAATTCATTGTCACATGTGAGCCAGACGATAAACGTATATTACGATCAAGAATCTCCAGGAGGAAAGCATCCATCACCGGAATTTATCGGGAACTAGAGCAAAACAAAGGTTTCCTTGTCCGGAGCGGAAAGACCAGACAGAATAGACGTCACCTACCTTAAACTTGTTGGTAGTAACCACATCCCACCATAAACCCAATTTTTACCCATCTTCCATTTCCTAAAATCAACAACATGCCCCTTTGACAAAGGATCCACAAGAACCACAATTAGGCCTGTTTCACGAGTCAGTACCAACTTTTCGTATATGATTCTTGTCTCTTCCTCTGTCAAAAAGTTGGTATTCACCAGTTGGTTTATAGGCATTTGGAGACGATTTTTGCCTTTGTCGAGATCGCTCTGAAACAGGTGCTTTGTTATGATCAGCTTTGGATCGTGTCCTTAATATCCTCTCATCACGTTCAAGAGCCACTCGGGCGGATTCGGTTGCCCATTCGTTGTCTGCGTGGGTCCCCGATGGACGATTTTGAGTTTCTTGCAGGATATGTTAGTAGGAGGACATTTTTTCTTGCTGCACTCGGTGATGCAAGAAGAAGGAAGAGATTCAGGGTCCCAATCTAGGTTTTCTAGTACTTTTTGCTCTTTGGTTGATGTCGAAGATGATCCCACCTTACAACGACCGACGATTTTGCGTTTCTTAAAGCTTTTATCCTCTTCTTCTTGCTTGTAATCCACGCAAGCAATTGATTTGTTTTTGACCCACTGTGTACTTGCCGGTCGGTGACTAAGCTGACTTGTCTTCTTTCTTGGTAAGCTCGCACATGGACTCACAAGGGTGTTCTTTGATGTTTCGTACTCTTCTAACATGGCAGATGCGACTTTAACCAAAATCTCTAGGTTAATCATACTACTGTATTCTCTGGCGGCTACATCTGCTAAAATATCCAGCTTCCAATATTTATTCGGCTGTGATGAAGGCTCCTGATAATAATCATCTTTCTTCATTCTTTGTCAACGAAAGAATACTGAGAATCAAAGAAAATCGAAGAAGAACTGAGTCACCTCGAGAACAAGAAATTTTCCTATAATCCTAAGAGAAGAAAAGTTTAGAGAGCCAGAAAAAGATAATTCATCAATGAAGTCTTATATAGGTTAGGGTTTAGGTTATATGACATCGTTTCCTATTTGTTTTTTTTTTAATTAAAGATGTACTTAACCAAATCACGCGGTTAATGAACCGTTATCTGATTTTTTCTTGAACCAAAATTTCTATTTCTCTGAAAACTGTTAACCAAGATTTTAGAATAAATATAGTACTAATATTTAATATTTGATTCGCTCATTTTATTCTCCATTATTAAATTAGTACTGTATTTATTCTAAAATCTTTTATATTTAATCGAATAATGTTGAAACAAAATAATGAGTAAAGACACTATGAATTCGTAAGCCACGGACAGACCAAAAACTAGAAAACGTTGTCGGTTCTAAATTTTTTGCTAGGTCTATTGCCTCTGATCATCTAGCTAGAGGAACGTAGATGGTTATCTAAATATTGCTAAATCTTCTGTCTCTGAATCAAGAATCCAAGAAAGAGAATCAGAACCACCAGACAAGTTCAAAGAAGGCAAAATGCTTGCAACTCAGATGGGAAATCTGTTGGAACAAGTTCTGCAAAGCCGTCTTGACCTTTACCTGAAAGCAACAACAAGACTTGTCCACATAAATCATGTGAAGAAAATAAAATTATGTTGGATAAGCTTGAAAGAATAAGTTATTAATTATAGTCTAAGTGTGTTTAGGATAAGATAGAATATTTAGGAAATATTTAGAAGTTGCTTTATCCAATTGATGTAGGAGTTATCTACTATTTACTATACAAGGAGATGCTGAGATTGTAGCATAACTTATGAGATTTGTGAGTTTTTTAGTTTTGAGTTGATTTTCTAAAGCTAATAAGAAGAGGTTTTCTTATACAAGTCTTGAGTTTACATTATCTTTGAGTTCTATATTTGGTATCAGAGCATTTACGATTAAACCTAAGGATCAAACACAGAGATTATCCATTACAGCAACATGGGTGATCTAGTTCCAGCCACAACATAGTCGAAGGAAAATAGTATCTCAGCCATTCAATGTCCGATGCTTACCGCCACAAACTACATGGTGTGGTCGATGCGGATGCAAGTAGCTCTCTAAGTGCACAAGGTGTGGGAAACCATTGATCCAGGAGTAAAAGATGCAGATAAAGATGTTCTGGCCAGAGCACTCCTGTTTCAATCAATACCCGAAGCGCTGATTCTTCAAGTCGGAAACTTAGACACCTCAAAAGCTGTTTGGGAAGCTATTCACAAGCGACATATGGGAGCCGAAAGAGTAAAAGAAGCAAGACTACAAACATTGATGTCTGATTTCGAACGTATGCGAATGAAGGAGACAGACACGATCGATGACTTCTCTGCAAAACTCTCAGAACTTGCCACAAAATCGGCAGCTTTAGGAGAAATCATCGACGAGCCAAAGCTAGTAAAGAAGTTTCTACAAAGTTTACTTCGAGGAAGATATATTCACATTATTGTCGCTCTAGAACAGGTCCTTGACCTCAAAACTACAACTTTTGAAGACATCATAGGGAGACTAAAGGCATATGAGGAGAGAATCTGCGGTGAAGAAGATCAACAAAGTGACCAAGGAAAACTCTTATATGCGAATACAGAGTCACAAGAAGGTCAAGGAACTGGCAGAGGCAGAGGACGAGGGGGAAGATTTTATGGTAGAGGAAGAGGCCGCGGTTACTATGATAACAATGGCAACCAACAGAACAACAGCTACAAACAAGAAAGAGACAGATCCAAGATTATCTGTTTTAGGTGCGACAAAGCAGGACATTACGCGTCGGTATGTCCTGATAGACTACTTAAGCTCCAAGAGACACAAGAGAATGGAGAAGAAGAAGTCGATGATACACAAGAAGCAGAAAAGTTGATGATGCATGAGGTTGTATACCTCAACGAGAAGAATGTAAAGGCAAGAAAGTTCGAAACTTGTCTAGACGGCGAGAATGTCTGGTATCTAGACAATGGGGCCAGTAATCACATGACTGGAAACCTGGCCTACTTCAACAGAATTGACGAGAATGTCAGAGGAAAAGTCAGATTTGAAGACAACTCACGCATATATATCAGAGGAAAAGGTTCGGTGTTGTTCATAACCAAGGATGGAGATCAAAAAATACTAGCCGATGTGTACTATATTCCAGCCCTGAAGAGTAATATCATAAGCCTCGGTCAAGCAACGGAGGCAGGGTGCGAGGTTAGGATGAAAGGGGAGCTTCTAAGCGTATATGACAAGGACGGAATATTGCTTGTTAAAGCAAACAGTTCCAGCAATCGGCTATACAAAGTTCTTATGGAGGTTGAGAATACTACAGCTGGTAGCATTAAGTGAGTCAACAAAGTGGCACGCAAGACTTGGGCACATAGCTCTTGAAACTATGAAAAGAATGATAAAGAAACAGCTCGTCACAGGAATACCGAGCATATCAGTTGATAAAGAGACTTGTGCCTCATGTCCACTTGGCAAGCAAACAAGGTAATCTTTCCCACAGGCAACATCATACCGAGCCACACACATTCTTGACCTTTTACATGGCGACCTGTGTGGACCAATCTCACCTCCAACAGCAGGACTTAAGAGATATATTTTCGTGTTAATCGATGATCACTCAAGGTACATGTGGTCCTTTCTCTTAAAGGAGAAAAGTGAAGCTTATGAGAAGTTCAAGAGGTTCAAAACGATGATAGAACAAGAGACAGGAACTACGATCAAGACTCTTTGGACAGATAGAGGTGGCGAGTTTATGTCACAAGAATTTTTGAGTTTTTGCGAAGAAGCTGGTATAAAAAGACATTTAACAGCCCCCATACACTCCCCAACAGAATGGAGTAGTCGAAAGACGGAACAGAACGCTTCTAGAGATGACAAGAAGCATCATGAAGCACATGAAAGTGCCCAACTATCTTTGGGGAAAAGCTGTGAGGCATGCGACTTATCTCATTAACCGAGTTGCGACCAGATCACTGAGTGATCAGACACCATACGAAGCGTTCAAGAAAAGGAAGCCAAATATTGAACATCTACGCGTGTTTGAATGTATCGAATACGCAAAGACTGAAGCTCCACACTTAAGAAAATTAGACGACAGGTCTCGAGTATTGGTACACTTAGGCACTGAACCAGGTTCAAAAGCCTATCGGTTAGTGGATCCTCAAAACAAAAGGATAGTTGTCAGCAGAGACGTCGTATTTGATGAAAAGAGGAGCTGTAAGTGGAGCAACTCAGAAAAACAAGTCGAAAGTGATACAGACAGCTTCACTTTTAGACTTGAAGATCACGACACTAATGATGATAAATATAAGGAAAGTAGTGATGGAGAATAAACACAGGAAAACAGAGAGGAGGACGAAGATGTCGATGAATTCGAAAGGGAAAACATTATTCCACAACTCGAGAATAGTGTCAGTGAACAACAACAGTCCCAACCAGAACTAAGAAGGTCGACAAGACCAGTTAGAAGACCGGAGTACCTGAAGGACTACATCTTGGTCGCTGAAATAGAGAGTGAACGACTATTGCTGGCAATGAATGAGGAACCTTGGAATTTTCAAGAAGCAAAAGAACTTAAAGTCTGGAGAGATGCTTGCGAAGAGGAGAAAAATTCCATTACAAAGAACAAAACTTGGAGTTTAGTTAATTTTCCAGCTGGAGCAAATTCGATTGGTTTAAAGTGGGTCTTTAAGATAAAGAGGAATTCTGATGGAAGCATAAACAAATACAAAAGTAGGCTCGTAGCCAAAGGTTATGTCCAGAGATATGGGATAGATTATGACGAGGTATTCGCTCATGTTGCTCGCATTGAGACAATCCGTTTCATCATCGCCTTAGCAGCTTCAAGTGGTTGGCAAATACATCATCTTGATGTAAAAACTGCCTTTCTACATGGAGAACTAAAGGAGGAAGTTTATGTCTTACAACCAGAGGGGTTTATGATCAAAGGGAATGAAACCAAAGTCTACAAGTTGCATAAAGCTCTTTATGGACTTAAGCAGGCACCTAGAGCATGGAATAGCAAGCTGAACAAGATCTTACAAGAGCTGAAATTCACCAGATGCTCAAAGGAACCCTCGTTATACCGAAGGGAGGAGAAGGAGTATCTTCTACTTGTGGCCGTTTATGTAGATGATCTACTTATTACAGGATCAAGTTTGAAGATATTTGTGATTTCAAGAGAAATATGTCCAGCAAATTTGAGATGAGTGATCTTGGAAAGCTGACATATTATCTTGGAATTGAAGTATTAAACAAGGAGATGGGATTACTTTAAAGCAAGAGAGATATGCTCTAAAGATCTTAACTGAAGCGGGGATGGATGGATGAAATGCGGTACATATTCCAATGGATGCTGGTCTAAAGTTGTCTAAAGCACAAGGGGAGAAGAACATCAACGAGAAGGAGTATAGAAGAAACATAGGGTGCTTAAGATACCTGATTCACACTCGGCCAGATCTCTCTTACAGTGTGGGTGTTTTAAGCAGATATATGCAGGAACCTAAGGAATCTCATGGAGCAGCTTTGAAGCAGATTCTAAGGTACTTGCGAGGCACTCTTTCTCTCGGACTGAAGTTCAAACGTGCAAATACAACAGGTCTTGTGGGCTATAGCGATAGTAGCCACAATGTGGACGCAGACGATGGCAAAAGTACGGGAGGACATGTGTTTTATCTCAACGAATGTCCAATAACCTGGTGTTCACAGAAATAAGAAACGGTGGCCTTATTCTCTTGCGAGGCAGAGTTCATGGCAGCTACTGAAGCCGCCAAATAGGCTATTTGGCTTAAGGAATTGCTTGGAGAGGTCATCGGAACAGATTATGTAAAGGTAGTAGTGCGCATTGATAACAAGTCGGCTATTGCGTTAACTAAAAACCCAGTCTTCCATGGAAGGAGCAAACATATCCATAGGCGGTATCACTTCATCAGAGAGTGTGTCAAGAGTGAGCAAGTGTTGGTCGAACATGTCTCCGGAACTGAGCAAAAGGCAGATATTTTGACCAAGGCTCTTAGAAGGATTAAATTCAAAGAGATGAGAGATCTCTTAGAAGTTCAAGCTGTGTCAAGTGATGACTTCAAGCTTAAAGGGGAGATTGTTGGATAAGCTTGAAAGAATAACTTGAGGAATAAATTATTAATTATAATCTAAGTGTGTTTAGGATAAGATAGAATATTTAGGAAATATTTAGTAGTTGTGTTATCCAATTGATGTAGGAGTTATCTACTATTTACTATTTACTATATAAGGAGATGCTGAGCATAACTTATGAGATTTGTGAGGCTTTAGTTTTGAGTTGATTTTCTAAAGCTAATAAGAAGAGGTTTTCTTATACAAGTCTTGAGTTTACATTATCTTTGAGTTCTATATTTGGTATCAGAGCATTTACGATTAAACCTAGGGATCAAACACAGAGATTATCCATTACAGGTCCTACTAAAACCATACCGGCATGGACTTTGGAGAGCAAGATCGTTGTCGTTGTGAAACCACTTTTCTGGCCATTTGAGCACAAGCTTGACTAGATATATTGAAGCATACTTCCATGTCTCCTCCGAGAAAGAAATCACTAGGAACCAAAAACATGGCAGGTATCTCTCAAAATCAATCATCTAACCGAATTCTGTGTATTGAGAAAGGAAAGAAAGCTAAAAAGATCATAGGGATGAAAGTGAAACTTACAAGAAAATGGATGAGAGTAAGAAACTAACTAAGAACTTCTTAAGAAAACCAGAAATTAAAAGGGGAAAATTGAAAGAGGATTACACTGGAATGCTCTTTCGATAGGAAAGTACTTGAGCCTAATGTCGGACATGAATTTCTAGTCAAGTTTTAAAGAAAACAAAATAAATCTAAGAAAAAGCAACAAAATTGACTTTATTTAATATCCGTCAAATTTTTGTGTTGATTCCACTTTGCCCTATCGAGGCAAAGTCCCATGAAATCTATAATTTTTCAGTTATCAATTATATGATTCAGTCTTCCCCTATTATTATGCTATGCACATGTAATACATACAACTGCAAACGCTTCTTCTCTCAAGAATTTTCCATCAAACAAATCATATAGATCAATATATCGGTTTCGTAAAATATAGACATTCATTATTAGAGTACTCTTGTGTAAAACCATTAGATTAGTATATATATTTCAAAACTCTAGCCTCTAGCAATGATGGATCAATGGATGAATTGTGTTAGATGCACGTCTTTTTACAAATGATGATGTTTCTAAAAAAAGAAAAAAACTATTTCAAATTCAATGATGTTTTCAACTTTCAATGTAAAATTAATTAATTTTAATTATTTTTAACCATTTTTATTTTGTATGTTTTATCATTGGTTGAATTGTGTTTAAACAAACAATAAATACTATCTTAATTAATGTAGAATAATATTACACTTTTTCTTTTTTTTGTAGATGATGTTTTAAAGAAAAATTATTTCAAATTAAATGATATTTCAACTTTTAATGCAAAATTAATAGTTTTTAATGTTTTTGACCATTTGTATTATGTTTGTTTTATTATTGGTTAAATTTTATCTAGGTGGATGATAAATACTATTTTATCATATCTTTAATTAATGTGAAAATAAATTATTCTTTTTTATTTTCTTATAAATGATGTTTTAGAGAACAAATTTTGTTTCAAATTAAATGATGTTTTCAACTTTCAATGCAAAATCAGTTAGTTGTTTTAATGTTTTTGACTATTTGTATTTTGCATGTTTTTTAATTGGTTGAATTATGTTTAGATAAATAATAAATACTAATATTTTAATTTAGAAAAATTAAAAATTACTCTCTCTTTTCATAATTAGTGTTGTTTTAGATTTCATTTTTTGTTTCAAAAGAGTGTCATTCTGCATTTTCAATGTAACTTTTTATTCTTATTTCCTGTTTTATCGTTTATTTAAAGATAATAGTCTTTGTAATTGAATGTTATAAAAGTATATTAATTAAGGGTATATTTATATATTTTATTAATTTTTTAATTTGTGTGAAATGTGTCAGAATGACACTTATTATGAAACGGATGGAGTAAATGATTTTGGAATAACATATTTTTAAAAAGATGGAGTTCGAACCCAAAAAAAATGAAGGAACAGTTGTATATTCGTACGGTCAAAACTCTAACATTTTCAACGTTGAGTATTAATTAAGAAAAGAAAATGGTTTCGCTCTTTTGCCGAATAAAGCCACTGTTCTGTTGAGTGTAAGACGAATTTCTCTGCCATACCTTGAACAAAAATGGCTTCTTGCTTTTACCATTTTATAGCACTCTGATCAGTACAATCCCCGTTTTTTTTACTTTCAAAATCCCTAATTTTTCTTGAATCTTTTGCTTCTTCTTCTTCTCCATTGTCTTGACTCTTTGAGTTTGAGGAGATGGCAAACGCATTGTCGTCATTATCACAACACACTGAGAAATCTCTCGTTGAGGAGAGAGAAGAAGTTATGGTTTCTGAGAAAGGTCACAGCTTGAGAAAAACACAATTTCTAAAACCGTTTACTACCTCCATCGATGGCTCTGGTGTAGCCGAGCTTCCTCGTCAACGTCTGTCTGTTTCGTCTTCGAGGGAATCCTTGTGGAGCTTCTCTGGGTTTTGGTTTGCAGATCGTCATTTTGTATCCTGGTTTAGAAAAATGGAACCTTTGCACGGACCCATTTGGGAAAAAGCTGGGATTTTTGAAGCAATCAAGGCTTCTACTTACAATATCAGTAAAAACGAGTCTCTGATTCTCTCTGTTGCTGAGAAATGGTGTCCCGAAACCAAATCATTCGTCTTCCCTTGGGGTGAAGCAACGATAACTTTAGAGGATGTGATGGTGCTTCTAAGGTTTTCAGTTTTGGGCTCTCCTGTTTTTGCTCCTCTAGAAAGCTCGGAGATGAGAGATTCCGTGGAGAAACTGGAGAAAGTATGGCATGAGCATGTTAGAACAGATGACAGGCGTGTGTATGAGACTCCATGGTTTTTGAGCTTCTTCGGTAGAGGTGACCAGTTGGAGCATGAAGCGTTTCTTGCATTGTGGCTCTCGTTTTTCGTTTTTCCAGGTGCATGTCGTCGTTCTATCTCCAAGCGTGTGTTCCCAGTGGCTGTTCGTTTAGCTAGAGGTGAAAGGATTGCTCTTGCCCCTGCTGTTCTCGCGAGTATCTACAGAGATTTGGGTCGAATCAGTGGTTTGGCTACACAAAGACGTGATTGCAAAGTTAATCTCAAGTCTCTGTTTAAGTTAGTCCAAGTATGGACTTGGGAGAGGTTCAAAAACACGAGACCAAAACCTAGAGAGATACCAAAAGGTGAACCTAGAATAGCTCAGTGGCAACAAAGATCTGAGAATATGACATGGCGTTTTGATGATTTTGATTGGCGTCCTTACACTAAGCCTTTGAAGAATTGGAACCCTCTTAGGTTTTACGTTGATGAAGCTATGTGGGTGACTGTTAATGATTGTCTTGACGATGAGTTTGCTTCTATTGCTCGGTGTGTGAGAGTTTCTCAGCTTGCTGGAGATGGTTTTGTAGAGGATTACTATCCAAATCGAGTGGCAATGCAGTTCGGTTTGGCTCAGGATCTGCCTGCGTTGGTTACTCGTCATAGCAACCTCACTGAAAAGGAGGCTTGGGATGATTACAACAAGTCTCTTGATGGTTTGAAGCTGTACATGCCTTCTCTCCTTGCTAGAGGTTCTGTTACTGCAAGGTATAAAAGCTGGTGGCTGAGATCAGTTTCAGAGTTTCTGAGTTCTGAAGAGGTGCAGAAACAACCAACTAAAACTTTGAATGCAAGGAATACATTTTATGATGATGATGATGATGATGATGATGATCTTGATGTATCTCCCAAAGTATTGCCTTTGAGTCAGGTGGTTCAGAAATTGGAAGAAGGCTTTCCTATAAAACGGAAAAGATCTAGAATGCGTAGATTGGCAAAGAAATGTAAGAACAATCTTGTGTCTTCAGGCTGGAAGATGAACAAGACAAGTGAGGATTTGACAAACAAGAGAAGCAATTACCAACCTGTGCAGATGAAGCGAGCTCATGAGGATGGTGATCAGATTTCTATGGATGATGAAGATGATAACATGACCATTGCTCGAAGGATCAGTTCTAGGAAGACGTATTATAGTGATGCAGAGAACACGGAAGGAGATGCTATTGAACCTCTTGGAAAAAGGAAAAGAAAATTTCAGGTGGTGGATAGTGATGATTCAGGGCCTTGTCAGAAGCTTGCTTCAGTAAAATTAGAGCAAAGGAGTGAAGAGGAGGATGAAACTGCAAGAAAAGCACAAAAGTTAAGGCCAATCTGTAATGATGAGGTTGATGTAAATGGAAAGAGTGCACAGAAGAAGAGTATGATTGATGATGGGACCAAGAAAGCATATTGTTGGCTTCATGAATATGAGGAAAAGAAGAGATGCAATGAGAAAAGAAAAGAAGGTATTTGTGAAAGATTGAAACAGAGAAAGATTGCAATAAGGGAGAAAGAGTTGGAGCTGGAGGCACGTATTGTAAAGATGGAGAAGACTTTGGCAGAGATCAGAGGATGGAATTACAGAGGAAACCAGATCATAAATGAAGTTTCTGCTTAGCTAGTTTGTGTCTAAATCTTCTTCGGATCTGAAACTTTTCAAGAGGATCTCATGGAAAAGTATCACAAATTGTTTTGCTCTTTTGCGCGTGTAAACAACTTACTTAGACACAAAGCTTTACGGTTTTAGTATTTGAAAGTGTCTATCAAATGGAGGAAATTAATACTTTTGATTTTGAATTAGGTGCAGAAGAGGGCAGATTATCTCAATTCTAAAACAAGATGGAAAACTTGTATATCAATTGGTTTGATGAAGTTTCGGTTAAGTCCGGTTTTTGCTTTGAGAATATATAGACCGATCGGTTTATAAGAATTTTAAGTCGGTTTCTGTTTTGTCAATATATTGAATTCAATGTTTGATTAGGTACCGTACGGCACACTCTGCAAATGCGTGCCTATCATAGAAAATAAGAAAATTGTAAAATTCATTACCTATCAGTTTTTGCACACTTTCCAAGAAGAAAACTAATGTGTTTCCCGTATCATCTTTTTCTAAAATTTGTCAATATCATAAAAATTACTTTTTAGAAAAATATAAAGTTCCTCCAGGCTCATATGAAACATTTTAAAAAGTTTTTGAGAAGATAAATATGTATTTGATGAGACATTTTATTAATCAGTTTCTGCTGTCAAAAAAAGAAAGAAGACTAGTTTCTTTCCAATTACCTTAAAAAGCAACTGTTCTATTAAAGCTTCATCAACTCTGCAACATAACTTTTGCCTTTTACCTTTCTTTCAAACTTCAAACGTTTATTCAAAACAAAAATGAGAAAAAGCAGGGATTTTCGATAGTTTAATCTAGAAATGAAGATGATGTTGATAATAGTATGACCCAGAAAAAGCTTGCAATAACTGAGCTAGCCTTAACACCACACAACAATGAACTAAGCCCTCCTCAAAGCTTGCTTTTGGAGGCGCTAATGGAGATGAAACAAGCAAAGCAAGCAAAGCATGTAAGAGTCTGGTTCTGAGCCCAACTGATGAGTCAAACATTCACATCTCTGTAGGGGGTCGAACTCAGGGACATGATTTTTTGTATCATGATGATGGCCTCGGAAGTGAAGAAACTATGAAATCCAGTGAGCAATTAGAGGATTTAGAAATCATAAACGGTGATGCTAGTTTGGGCAGATAAAGAAAGGAGCAGTCAAATGCAAGTAGAATATCAAAGAATAATCTCACACCTTTGTGATCTTTTTGTTTAGTATCTTTTGAGGACTGGTTTGGTTTAAGTGTTTCATTTGTATCTTTTGAACTCAGTTATGAGCTTATTGCTCTTTTGTGTGTCACAGATAAGGAATAAAAGAAAAGCCTGATTCTATCATGTGAAACAAATCATATATAAACCAAGAAAAATAGATCTGTTAAAGCGATTCAGGGTTACATTAGGAACAAAATCTCAGAGACAGAAAAAAACGATGATCGCTTAGGAACCAAGGCAATCCAACCTATTATGGTGTAACCACAACAACATTGTCTACACCACACATATTTCTAAATCGACAAATTCATATACCTTATTTAAAACAAAGGAGGAGATTGTGTGACTACATTGCAAAACAAAGATGCATAACCATCATTCAGCTTTAGGTGGTAATGGTATGTGGTTTCCGCCAGTCGCGATCTTGTATACGTAGAAACAGGTCATGAGAGCACTGCAATACACAGACAAATGGTTTCTCAGGGTAAAGTAAAGATAATCAATAGCTAATGTTTCACAGAAGTAAAGGGAAAAGGGAGGATCTTTAGCAAATTACCTGATTCCAGCAACCAAACCAGCAGGCATAATCTTCTGAGTCTGCAAGAACCGTTGTCCCATGACAAGTGTGAGAGCAGCTGCAATGACTGTATTTACAAGACATTCAGATGATTTTTCAGTCACTGCAAACTCTTGAAAGAGAATAGTATACCAAAGCAACTTAGAGGTCTTGTTCCAATGAATGGAATTGGTAACAGGCACACAATCCACATTACAGAAACAGTCGATAGCAATATACTTAGCTACACATTCTTACAAGTCCAATAAGATATAGCACCTTATGAATAATTAGCCAGTTTTCATGAGCAATTTCTTAGCCACTATAGTCCAAATGGACAGCAAAATGTGTATCAGTTTTTCATCTTTGAGATCATAATTAGCCTCACACAAACCAAATATCTGATACCTTAACTAGCATAGCTTGTCTAACTCCTAAGAAAGGTCTAGAATCGAACAACGAAGCGATTCCATCTTTCTAATTACACCATTTTCTGAACAAATTCAAGCTTGTACTAGAACAAAGGCTCTCACTTTTTTTGGACACACTAATCAACAAACACAAACACAAGAAAGATCTCGGATTCCAATGGAAACATGACCGAATTTAATCACAGAGCAGCTGAAATTAACAAACCTGTCTCGAGAACAACAGCGAGAGAAGAAGTCTTCTTCTTCTCGAAAGCTTTAAGGCTGATGAAACCAGCGAGAACGACAAGCAATCCAGTACCCGCACCTCCGGCGAGAGATGCGATACTCCCTTTCTTCAAATACCCGATAAATCCCCCGACCATCAGAAGCATCCCGTACGGGATAGTGAAGCAGAAATCGTGCATTTTTCTCTCCTTTTCTCGAGCTGGGTTTGAATCTTATGTTTTTTTTTCCGGGAAAAGTGGAATCTGGGTTCGAAAGGAATCGATTTACAGCTTCGATCGATTATCGAATCAAAAGTTTTATACGACGGAGTGTGGTTAGCGCGTGGAAGAGGTCCGCTTCGACGTTTCTTCGTCAACGGTCTCTAGAAGGGATAAATCAACTACTCCCACTTTCATCCCACGTTCTCACCCAAATTACTATTATACCCTCATCCAATAATGATTACCGTAACTAATTTCTAATCGATTTTGCTTATCCACCTAATACTAACTAGAGATATTGATTATCTCAATAAGTATTTAAAGACCAACTTGTTCAATAGTTACATAGTTTTTTTTTTAAAGAATGTAAAATTCTATTCAATCAAAAAACTTTTTACATCTAGTGCATCATAATCTAAAGAATCTAGTTTAATCCTACATCAGATTCCTGGTGCCAAACCAGTAAACAAGCTCATTCTCATAATTTTTCCCTCTTTTAAAGCATGTGCAATGGGATCTCTACCCTAGTTTTTAAAATTTTTTTTTTAATAAAATTAAATAAAAAATAGTTTAAAGGAAAAAACGTCTCCTAATTAAGAGACATAAGAGATGTCTCTTATGACAGATGTCAACATTTTATATATTCTTTTTTTTCTTCTCTCTCTTCAGCAAACATGTGACAGAATTTTTTTTTTTATATTATAAATTTATTTTTCTTCTCTTTCTCTCTAAATGTTTCTCCGTTGCACATGCTCTTAGTAGAATAGTGCTGAGCCAATTTCAAACTGTGTTATCGATGATCTTTATCAATCTCTGATATGGAGAGGGGTTGTCTCCATGCTTCCTCGCGTTTCGTTGTCTCCATTAACCATAGATGGTGGCCTAAAAACATATCTAACGATAAACAGGGTAGTTTCGTCGAAGGTCTGATCCTTCAAGATGCGCAAGACGTCATTCCAAGCGTAGGTGTATTTATCCTTTAGAATGCATTTGATGAGAGCTTCCCAAACCTTTTCCGAATAGTGACACTAAAAAAAGAGGTAATGTTTTGTTTCCAAAGGATGCTGACATAGGGAGCAGGAAGAGTCTGCATTTGCATTCTATTGCAAGATGTGACGATTATGCATTGCTGTCCAAAATAAGAAAGCATATTTTGGAGTTGCATATTTAAACCTGGCTATCTCGCTCTAGTCACACCGAAGATGCTCTTCTCTTATTATCGATCATGTTTCCTTGGATCTGAATCTACCTTTGTAGACACCTGGTTTACATTTCCATTTAGCTATGTCTTCCATGTGCGCAGCTACCAGATTTTTTGTTGTGTCAATCTCGTCTTCGACACTATTAGGCAGAGTATGCTGACGTCGTTTTCGTCGATGAGTCTGGAACACCTTATCCAGCGTCAATTCAAGAGGAATACCCAAATCAACGCAACCTCTAGTTCCCAATATATCAATTAGCCTTTCATGAGAAGACCAATGGTCGTATCAGAAAGATGTGCCTCTACCACTTCTGATTTCCACCCGATGAAACTCCTTTGCTAGAGGACGCAGTTTCAGAATCTTCCGCCACATCCATGAACCAGTGTTTTGTTTCTCTTCAACTGACCAGAAAGACTCCTTGCGAATCATATACATATGAAGGTATTTTACGAAATCACATCGTTACATAGTTACATAGTTACATAGTTACATAGTTACATCAATCTATGAATGTATTTTACAAAATCACATCGTTAGGATAGGACACTTGTGAAAGATTTTCTAACAAAAGGAGCTTATATTCAGAGCCGACCCTCTCCTAAAGCCTATGAAGCAAGGGTTTTATAAAAAAATTTGGGCTTATTATTGTTTGATTATAAAAAAAATTTCTTTTAAAAATCGATTTCAAGTTTAAAAAAATCTATTTCAGGCTTTAAAAAATCGATTTTAAGCTTAAAAATCAATTTTAGGCCAAAGAAAAATCAAGTTTTTAAAGATAATTTGTTTGTCCTCTTATTCCAAAAAAAAAATTATCCTGATTAAAGACATCATTTTTAAAAAATATGACAGATTTTTTTTTTATTCTAATTAAAGACATCATTTTTAAGTTACGCTTTAAGCATCATATAACTTTGGGCCTGGTTATATTAATCAACTTGCATAGGATGTACAAGTACTTAAAAGAGATAAAAAAAACTTCAATGAAAATAAATAAATAAGCAGAAGCAAAACTTCAAATCAATTGAGCTTAAAGTTTAATCGGAGTCTACGTCTTCCTCTTCTTCACCTTGGAGCGACTTGAAAAGCATCGATGGAACCACAAAATTTGCTACCAAATACATGGAAATCATTGCTCCACTTCGATAGCCGCGCCAAATAAATCAACAATAAAAAACCACATTACTTTCATATACCAAAAAAGAAAAGAGAAGAAACTACATTAATTTCTCAACAATATTAAAAATTGAAGAATAAGAAGAAGAGTAAAATTAAAAAATTAAAAAACAAGAAGGAGAAAATTGGAAAGAGTAGAGAGATACCTTACGAGAAGGAAAGTAGTGATATCACCAGATTCAGAAGGAGGCACCACACTAGCTTTTGATTTTAATCTGAGCCCAATTTTGGGATAGATACTGATTTGCCATTGATGTTCTCTTAAGCTTGAAGGAGATGAGGATAAGAAGAAAAACACTTGGTTTCTTATTAGACGACTCTCTTTTTGCTTCGCTTGCCGATTCAATACCAATGAACTGGCAGGCGACTGCTGATGATAACGTCCGCACCACATTTTTTGGATTCACACTACTCTTCTTCTTGCTTTTTTCTTGACAAATTTTCACCAAAAATGTTATCATTATCTAATGTCTCTTGTCCAAATTTGGTGAAGATAGATTCTATGCCAATCCTTTGTTGCCACGTCACCAAGTAATGTAATTTTTAAAGTATCTATATAAATAAGATTTAATAGAACCGCTGGTTTTCATGGAATCTTATCTTCTTCTTTTCTTTGGCTTATGACAAGAAGTATAAATAATCATCCACTTATTCTAAGCATGCATGAATTCTTAGTACGTATTTTTGAGAATTTTATCTAACAGTGAATAACTCAATAGGTTAAACCAAAATGTTTAAAGGCACATGAATCGAATACTTCTTTCTTTTTTTGGTTGCTAGTGTTGGTTATTCCAAAACATTGATTGCAATATGTCTTGCAAGATTTAGCAATGAAAATTTTGGTCACATATATATATTGCACGTCCCATTCCATGGCAGCATCATAAAAACCCATTAATTTCAAATTCAAAAGAAGAATTATCAAAAAGCACTTACGAAAAAAAATGATGTGTTTTGTGATGCAATAATTATGTTATCATTCAAATTGTATAGTGTGTGTGTGTTTTTAAGTTTGAGTTAAATATGGGCCGGTGTGGCTATTGGTGCCTATTGCGTATGGGATTCTTTGTTTATATAGAAGAATCTTGTGCATTTGCACAATGCCCATAAACAATTATCATCACCTTCTGTCACGTTTTCATTTTTTACTTTTCATAGTTTAATTTTCTTTCTTATGCATCAAGATAGATAGATATTCTAGAATACCAGCTCTGTTCGATTAGAAGCAATGGGGATATGAGGTATGAAAATGGAGTAAGAACTTGGTTCTCTACAAGACAAACTTTAGGATAGCTTTCTTGATTTTGATTTCAAAAATGTTTAGATTACAGATGTAAAAACGTTATTTTTTTCTTTTCAATATAATTTCATATTAGATTAAAAAAAAAAAAAGCTATTCTAGAATGATTAATGTAACTCGTTAAAGAAAGTCGATATATTTTACAAGTTGGGTTTCAAAGAAACGAGAGGTTAGCGTTGATAAAATTCCAAACTAAGGCGAGATTACATAAGAAACTATATATATGACAACTCTTCGAAGAAAATGAGTATAATCAAGGAGTTACAAAAAATATTTTGATTATACAGTTTCTATTTGTCAGAGTCATTGAGAAGAAATTTTCTTGATACTCTGGCTCTCACAGTGCTATTTGTTTAAAACTTACAAGTACACTTTTTGACAAAGGGCTTCCAAATTAAATGCAAGGAATTTAAAAAACAATTACAATGAATATAGTTTTTTACAAGTACACAATAATTTTGGGTTGCAATTATCTAAAATACGTACCATATATATAAAGAAAAAGAAATTCATTAATTATCCATTTCAAATTATAATTCATGGCAGAATCAGTAATTATCCATTTCAAATTCAAACGAAGAAATATTGAAAAAAATCTACGAAAAATTACGGATAAAATAAAAGGAACACAAAAATTAGTGGTGCGCAATATGTGATAATGCAAATTATGATGTGTAGTAAACCATCCAAAACAAACACAAAGACAATACTCATCATCATCTCTTTTCTTTTTTGTTAAAGTAAACCTCATCGTCTCCTCTAAACAGTTTCTCACGTTTCCAGCCTTTTCCTTTCATTTGAGATTCTTTCTTTTCGATCACGAAAGCTACTAAAACATTTCATTTTTTCTTGCGCAACAAGAAAGATTTATATATCTTCGTTAAAAAATTGCCTTCGTTATAACCAATCTGGATACGTATAGTTGTTATTTGTCGATGTAAATATGTAAAGATAGATCTACAAAAAATATGCAACAACACGTAACCAGTTTACTTCACTCTCCATGCAATTCTCATGCTGCACTCAAACCCTTTTATAAAAAGTTACTAACTCCTCCAACTCATCATTTAATCATCACCAAATTAATCCTAAAGCCAAAAAAACTAAAGAAGCACACTATGGCAATTCCAAAACCACACTACTCATTAGCCATCCTTGTCCTTGTTTTCGCGGTTTCGAGTACAACCAGCCACCGTGAATGTAACCCGGTCTGCAAGGCTAAAGAACCTTTCAATTGCGACAATATACTTACATTCAATCGAACTGGGTTCCCAAAGAATTTTACTTTCGGTGCTTCTACTTCTGCATATCAAGTATATATATATATAGCTTTGCATGATAGATTACAAAAACTGATATAAACCTATAGTGATTTCTTATTATAATTCTAATAAAATAGACCCGATTTTTATTATTTACTAGATTGAAGGTGCTACACATAGAGCTTTGAACGGCTGGGACTATTTCACTCACAGATATCCAGGTCATTAGTAATTTATAAAACGAAATTTGATGAAAGAGGGAAACTATATATATGAAATTTAGAAAGAAATTATTCATGATCACATTTTGTCTTTTATGTAACAGAAAAAATTTCGGACCGCAGCTCGGGCGACATTGCTTGCGATTCATATAATCTTTATAAGGTATGCATGAAACTATATATTAATCCTTAATTATGTACGTACATTATAATTAATATTAAAATACCAGATTAATTGTTTTTTGCTCAAAAGATACCAATATTATATGTATTTTTTTTTTGTCAGAAGAGGACCAATATTATATGTGTAGATGTACAAAAACACTTTATAAGAGTTCTTTAAATAACCTCAAAGTTTGGGGCTGAGACTTGTACATCTATATATGGATCCAGGACTAGACAATTGATAATACCATGATACAGCGTAATCCTTCCCAAAAAAATTGAACCTATAGGGCACAGATTGCCCCTGAGCACAATGAAAAATGATATATGACGTTTTAAAAAAAACGATATATGACATTTCTTAATTAGCTTTGTAAACTCTTCCCAAAGTGTATTTTTGGTATATTTTTGAAGAAAAAACAACACATGAGAAATCGTAGTTTAAAATATTTATATTAATTTTTCTAATTGAATCTTATTAGACAAATGTTTATATATTTTGTAAAGGAAGATGTCAAAATGCTGAAAAGAGTGAACGTACAAGCATACCGATTCTCAATAGCATGGTCAAGGGTCTTACCAAGTAAATATAAAACACAAAAGATTCCTTCTCTTTGTATAATTAATAAAACAAGAATGTCGATCACTTTGTAATAACTGAAGTTGTGATACACATATACACTGTATCTAGAGGGAAGATTGATCGGAGGAGTGGACGAGAATGGGATAACATACTACAATAATCTCATCAACGAACTAAAAGCAAATGGTAAAATTTTAATTTAATTCTTTCTCACACATATGCTGACATATATATTATACTCTAATTTCTATATCTATATGTCAGGGATCTTCCTCCTTATTTAAACAGACGTAATAATTTATTGTGTTAAGTTATATTAGAAGTAACAAAATAAATTTATTCGAACAGGAATAGAACCATATGTGACCATATTACACTATGATGTTCCCCAAACTTTAGAAGACGAGTACGGAGGTTTCTTAAGTCCTCGTATAGTGTAAGTGCATTGATTTACACAAATACCAAATTTAATTTTCTTTAAACCTAGCTTACCGACATCACATGAAAATATCAATATTACATATGTATACTATAAAGGGAGGATTATAAGAACTACGCAGAGCTTATGTTCCAAAGATTTGGAGATAGAGTAAAGTTTTGGATAACTCTAAACCAGCCTAATTATTTTGCATCGAATGGGTATGGAGATGGGTCATCTCCTCCTGGAAGATGCACTGGCTGTGAAGTTGGAGGAGATTCTGGCACTGAACCTTACTTAGTCGCCCATCACCAACTCTTAGCTCATGCAGAAGCTGTATCTCTATACCGTAAGAGATATCAGGTATATAATGTAACACTTTTTTAACATGATTCCTCTTCTAAATAAAATTTGCTTTAGTATCTGTTTGTGGTTCAAAGTATTTAATCTAAGAAGTTTGAACGCAAAAGTTTCAAGGTGGTAAGATAGGGACAACTTTGATCGGTATATGGTTCACTCCACTAAACGAAACTAGCAGTCTTGACAAAGCTGCTGCACAACGGGCATTCGATTTTATCGTTGGATGGTATATAGTTTTTGCTTAATTTATTGACTTTCAAAACCATAAATATATTGAAAGTATGTTGGTTATAAAGGTTTTAGTAACAATTTATTCTTTATCAACTTACTTACATCTCTACGTGAAGGTTCTTGGATCCACTGGTCTACGGAGATTACCCCAAGATAATGAAAGAGATGATAGGAGATAGGTTGCCAAGATTTACACCTCAAGAATCAGAGTTAGTTAAAGGATCACTTGACTTTCTAGGATTGAATTATTATTTTGCACAGTATGCAACAGATGCAACTACTTCTTCTCCATTATATCCCAGTATCTCAACCGATCCAAGAGTTACTCTCAGTTGTACGTAAACAAACTCCATCATGTTTTGTTTTAAATCCGAATATTTAACTAGCTAGACTATAATTCTTTATTTATTCAATTTCAGATTATCGGAACGGAATTCCTATCGGTGTTGAGGCTAGTATCGAATTAATGTCACGTTAACTTATATTATTTTTAATAAGAAGATTACAACATTGATTTGACAACTTTTTGTTTCTTCAAGGCTGCTAGCTTTGTCTACTATCCTCCAGGTTTTCGTAATATTCTAAATTACATCAAAGAGGCCTACAAGAATCCACTTATCTATATCACTGAAAATGGTACTTAATCATATATAGTGTTTTCTAATGCTGTCAAATATACTGTATATGCTTATCAAACAAGAACCTCTTATCAGGAGTTGCTGATTATGGAAATTTGACGATTGCAAATGCTCTTGCTGATAGTGGAAGAATTCAGTGCCACTGCAGCCATCTTTCGTGTCTCAAATGTTCAATCGAGTGAGTTACTCGTGTGTGTGTGTAAAGATATTTGTTGAATGGTTATGTGTTAATATTCGGAAATTAACTTAAATACTTTAATATAGGGATGGGTGCAACGTAGGAGGATATTTTGCTTGGTCTTTGATGGACAATTATGAATTTGGGAAAGGTTATACTCTTCGGTTCGGTATGAATTGGGTCAACTTCACCAATCCCATTGATAGAAAGGAGAAAGACTCCGGAAAATGGTTCTCTAAGTTCATTGCTAATTAAAGGTTCTCTAATTATAGATCATATAAATTGGTTCTCTGTGTCCAACCTCGTAAGCTAATAGCTGTTGTGTACTTGTGTACTATTGGTAACATTGAATAGTCTTGTAATCAATTTAAGCACGTATGTGTTCGCGATTGAGACTTAATCCCCAATAAAAACATAAATAAATAAAGGGATATTAAATTTAGCCAAATAATGAAATAACGGGATATGAAGCTGTGATTAGTCTGCGTTTTTAATTTTTTTTTTTTTTTGGATGTTGCTTTTCAATTCAAAGTTTCAAACTCTAGTTGGGTTGTTTTTACCAAGGATTTCTATCTCAAGAACAGCAATTTTTTTCAAGATGGGACGTTAACTGAACACTACTGTTCTTATGTAGGCGAACACTTGTCAAAAAGCTAAACCCATACGGAATTTTCTTTCAGATTTTTGGTAAAAATTAATGATTATTAACACGTGATCTAAAATCAATCAGCAGAGTTTTTTTTGTTTACTGTAAAAAGCAAATTCTTGGTAACACTATTACTAAATTGGAGCAAACTTTCACTCTAGCCCATGAAGCGGCAAAACAAATATTTTGATTCTCTCCAATTTCTTATAGACTAACAGTAAAATATTGTAAAGGTAAATATTTTAGACTAACAGTGGTTTGGGTGCTCGGAAAGATGGCAGCTTGACCATTATGACTCGGAAGGTACGCTCGGCAGCAGCCTGGTACGTTTGAATGACAATTAAGGGTCGGATTAAATTAGTATTACATATCAAATATTTTATACCTTGTTGTGATGATCATATCAGGTGTTAAACTTGATTGTTATTTTCAAAATATAAGAGATTTAGAAAAAATATAATAAAACAGGAAAGAAGGATAAATATCTAAGAATTAAGTAACTTATCAAATCTTAATCACATGAATTATAAAGAATGAGTTTGGTCAAACATATAGGTTATTTATAATAACAAAGGATAAGTTTGCGTTCCGTATAACTGTATCCACTTCAACCCGTTAAAATTTGTTTAGACATAACTGTTTCAAAACACATATATAGAATTTATTCAAGCTTCCCCTATGCTCGTTAGGACACATCAATAGAGAACAAAATAGTGCAGCTGATGCTTTATCTAAGAAGGTTTATGTCGAGGATGATGTTTGTTCTATTAATGTAATGTCGCCATCATGGTTGGTAAAATATTTGTATTATCCTTACGCTTAATATTTAATAAAAGTTGTTACAAAAAAAAAAAAAAATTTCAAGACTTTTGCAATTGACTTTTTTTTTTTTTCCTTTGCAATAGACTAAACATTGAAAACATTGGTTTCCAAAAATTTGCTAAAATTTATAGATATATACATTTTTCTGAAAAAAATCTAACCCTAAATAGAAAATAGTGAATATGAAAAAAAAATAATGATTCTAAAGTAAATAATATTAAACAACAGGATCCTCTCTCTTCCTCATCGTGATGGAAGCAATAAAGAAGACCTCTCCAATCGTTCGCAAAAGCATTTAGTGCAGCAGCACACCTATAGGCCATGCTCCTTTTTATACAAAAAAAAATATTTTGCTCTATTTTACAAAAACAATTCTTTGAATCAACTCAGTTAGCACAGCTTGAATTATCCCAAATCTAAGTGATGGGATCTTGTGAATAATTTTGTTTCTTTGATGATTCAATGGATTACAAATCAACAACAAAAAAGTGAATAATGTAAAGTATGGCAACAATAAAGAACATATATCACTATAGAAATTTAAATGGTGGTATCAAAACATTAGTTTACATCATAAAGAACATATATCTCAAACTGAAAAAGGTGAACTACGTCAACCATAAGAACATTAGTTTACATCCTGAACTTTGATAACAATCTTAAACTTCGTTGATGTTCATTAACATTTAATATTTGTACATTTCTGAAACTTTTACAAAGTTATTTTACATTAATTAAGGCTTCATCGATTAAATTTGGATCTTTCGATATAAAATTGTCTTTAATAAGTGTATACGAGGAACTAGCTAGTCTTGAGCTTGGCCTATCCCGCCAAACCATTTTTTTTTCCAACATCCTGCCAAATTCTTTTGACCAATTGAAATTTTCTTTTTGATCACTCATCTCATCATAGTTAGGAAATCTGCAGAAAAGTTCATAAAGTTACTTAAAACGTTTTCAGAATAACATTGAATAGTCCACTTTGGACTGAAATTGCATGATTTCGAATTTTATCCCTTACGATGATCTTTTAATCCCGCGGGTTCCACTAATCTTATTTCACTAGAATTATTTCCCTCAACATTAACTAAGAACAATTGTTGGATTCACTTTTAGGAGTGAATTCCTTTATTTACCTTTTTATTTTAATTAATTAAAGTTATTTAATATTATATTTAAACATATTTTTTTAAAGAAAAAACTAAATCCTAAATTGGAAATAATGAATCCAAACATAATGTTTAATTTAATTTTATTCTATTGGATAAACAAGTATTTTGAACAAAAAAAACAAGTATTTTGATATAATTATTTGTGCTATTTTCGAAATTTTAAATTTAGGATGCTAAGTTTGGAATAAACAAATAAATTTTGTGTTATTTTAGGATATTCATCAGTTAAAAATTTAAATTAAACAAATAAATTAAATTAAAAATAGAAAATCATTAATTTTTTGTTTTATTTAAGGTTGAAGGTGGATTTTATTTGTTTTATTCATAATGATTTAATATTTTTAATTTAAAATTATAAGACAGAAGTAGTTTTTGCAAAAGACTGTTCAGAGTTAGTGAAGATGGTGTTTACACCCGAAGAATTGTCAGCTTTTGCTATACACTTGGATGAGATTAGGAAGATGAATGACAAGTTCAGTTTCTTCTTTATATCACATGTCACATGCGCAAAAAACTTTAAGACGGACAACCTAGTAAAAAATGCTCGTATCTACATTCAAAACGTTATTTATGTTAACTCAGTGCTATCAGTTTGGTTAATCTAACCGCTTTAAATATTTAGGCTGATAACAAAAAAGTTTAATTTATAATATTTGTTTAATTTTATTTTTTATTTTTTATTTATATTTAAATATAATATGTAAATTACATAGCACACTTTCATTGATTGAAATAAGAAGAGGTGAATAAAAAAGATTGACTCCTAAGGATAAATCTAAGAATTTTTCATTAAAAGAGATTCACCCCTAAGAGTAAACCCAATAATAAAAAGGATTTGCTCCTATAGAGATAAACCCAAATTTTTTTTTATTTTTAAATAATTAACTAACACATGTATAGAAGCTAATTAGGTGGTTTGACTGAATAGAGCTTTTGATGTGGTTCACCTTATTTTCGCTGTAATTATACACTCATAGTTTTCTTTCCTCTAAAAGTGTCCACATCAGCATCAATAAAAAAAAATATTTTAAATATTTATTTAATTCATATATAACAAAATTTATATATAAATTCCAAATTTAGACCAGATTTGATTGTTATAAACTGGAACCAAATAGTATACAAAAAGAATTACAAACGTAATTCACATATTTAATGTATTAATGAGCAAAAAATGTCAAACTTTATTTATTTTACAGAACTTATGTAAACGCCTTACTAATTGTTTAGTTAAATTAAAAATATTGATCAAAAATCTTTAAACGAGTAGAAAAATTAAATTATATAAATACACAAATAAGTATTTAAAATGTGATTAAAAGAATAACAAAAAATTGAAAAGTAACGTAGCTTTAAATCCGCGCAACACGCAAATAGAGTTCATAAAATAAAAGAGATCCATGACCAGTGAGCTATTTATGCTTCATAAGTCTTTTTAGTTTATCTCTCTTAATCTCGTGTTCTTGTTGTGTTTTGTTCGATGAGAGAAAACATACACGTGGTTTAATCCATGGAAGATCATCATCATCAGAGACAACAAAAAGTAATACCAAGTTTACGCTCTAAACTAGCAAAGACGTATTTATTATAATTTCGTATTCATATTTTTTTTGTTGTTGTTAAACTAATGTATCTAAAAAGCTTTCTAAGCTCAAAATTAATCATTAGCGGACCAACAACCAAAGGATACGTTAGCAATTTGTTGATTTAATCGTGAAAAGGTGGTCAGGCGGATTCGAATCCAGGGCAGTAGGACACATACCCATACCACTAGAAATTTTAAACCACTGAAATTTTCAAACCACTGGAATATGACCGCTTGGTTTTAATTTGGGTTTTAATTTCCTAATATAATACTGAATGTTTTCCCATGTTTTTAAGTGAGAGTGTGAGACAAATCATATTTTCGGTATATAGTTGCTGCAAAACTGAGGAAAATAATAAACTACACGAATTTGACAAAAAAAAAAAAAACTACAACAGAGTTGACAAAAAAATATTAATAATAAACTACAAGAGAATGTGTTTCGAACGAAAACCATTAACCAACATCACGAACTTTTAAAATTCTTACAAAAAAATTGCAAATAAATTGTCAGTTGGGGTAATATTAATAAATTGCACACAAATAACAGTTAAGATATATTAGCATATATTCTCATTCAGACATGGGCAAGTATATGTCGTGTGTGAAGCTATCTACGTACTCAATATATAATATGATATCCTTGAAAAATATACGTACGTTCAGAACAAAATAAATGTATATACGTATACGTATACGAGTTTACTTCAAACCCCATTCAATTCTCATGCACGCAAACTCCCCTATATAAACCCTTCCAAGTTCATCATTTAGTCTTCATCATCAAATTAACCATCAACAAAAGCAAAAAAAAACCAATATTATGCTCTCAACCATGGATATTCCAAAAGCTCACTTCTCTTTAGCCATTCTTGTCATTCTCTTTGCGGTTTCAAGTTGCCAAAATGTTTGCAACCCGGCCTGCAAGGCTAAAGAACCATTCGACTGTGACAATCCTCTAACATTCAATCGAACTGGTTTTCCAAACAACTTCACTTTTGGTGCGGCTACTTCCGCGTACCAAGTATATATCTCTTTGTCATTATGGCTAACACAGATCAATATAATAATCGAGCGACAGAAATATGCAAATTGTTTTCAAGTGTTAGTTAAAATTTGGTGTATCGACATGATTTATATGTTTTAACAGATTGAAGGTGCTGCACGTAGAGCATTTAATGGCTGGGACTATTATACTCATCGATATCCAGGTTATCGTCATCGATTAAATATATATGCTTTTATATAACTCATTTCCATGAATACTCGAATTTTAACTCTGGATTGGAATATTGCGACTAAAATTCGGTTTTTTTTCATGCAACAGAAAGAGTTCCCGATCGTAGTACGGGTGATCTTGCTTGCAATTCTTATGAACTTTATAAGGTGTGAGATGATTATTATTATTAACTAGAGTTAGATATATTTGTATATAATATATCATATCTTCTCTTTTGGAGATATGTATTTTAAACTTAACAAACAAACAAAAAATATGTTAAACTTTAATTTTTGTTTGTATAATTTACACAGGATGATGTCCAATTACTGAAAAAGTTGAACGTCCAAGCATACCGATTCTCGATAGCATGGTCAAGGGTTTTACCAAGTAAACAAATATACAAATAAACATTTCAATCGAAACTTTTGTTATTATTATTTTTTTCTTTCTTTGTAAAATTCATGTCATATATGATCGTATACAAATACTCTTAGAGGGAAGCTTGATTGGAGGAATCGACGAGAACGGGATAAAATACTACAATAACCTCATCAACGAATTAAAAGCAAATGGTATATATATATATATATATACCAAGTTTTGATTTACCATTCATGTTCTGCTCTGATGTATATCCTCTCTATTTTACATGAATAAAGGCATAGAACCCTACGTGACAATATTCCACTGGGATGTTCCCCAAACTCTAGAAGATAAGTATGAAGGTTTCTTAAGCCCGCTTATAGTGTAAGTGCATATAGATGTGTTGTGCACATCAAGTTTTGTATTTCATCTGTTTTCCTAAAGGCTATATATATGGCATTACAATACTTATAGTTAATATTTATGATATATACAGTGAAGATTACAAAAACTATGCGGAGCTTCTATTTCAAAGATTTGGGGATAGAGTAAAATTTTGGATCACATTTAATCAACCTTACTCTTTCGCAACAAAAGGTTATGGAGATGGGTCGTATCCACCGGGCCGATGCACCGGCTGTGAATTTGGAGGAAATTCTGGAACCGAGCCTTATGTAGTCGCACATCACCAACTCCTAGCTCACGCAAAAACAGTGTCTATATACCGAGAGAAATATCAGGTATATACAAATGTTTGGTATCATTCTCTTCCGTGTTTTTAAATTTGCTTTTGTTTTTTTTTCTTTTAATATCACTAATATGATAAGAAAATTTTATCCAGAAATTACAAGGTGGTAAAATAGGAACAACTCTGATCGGGAGATGGTTCGTCCCATTAGATAAACTTAGCATTCGTGACAATGCTGCTGCAAAACGAGCATTTGATTTTTTCGTTGGATGGTATATATACATGTTTAATTTTAACTAATTGACTCTCAAATCATAAATTTATGTTTATTAATAAAAAAATTTGGAACAACCATACCTTTTATATTAACTTGTGCATATGTCTATCGATCTCTCCATATATATATATGAAGGTTCTTGGATCCATTGGTGTATGGTGATTATCCACTGATAATGAAAGTTCTCGTAGGGGAGAGGTTACCAAGATTCACTCTTCAAGAATCAGAAATGGTTAGAGGATCTCTTGATTTTCTAGGTTTGAACTATTACGTTTCACAATATGCAACCGACGCACCTCCTCCTCTTCCTTCGCAACCCAACGTATCAACCGATCCACGAGTTACTCTCAGTTGTACGTAAAAAAAATTCCATCATGTATATTTATTATTTTTTGATATCAGCTAAATTAATATATATATTCGTTGATTTCAGTCTATCGTAACGGAATTCCTATTGGTGTTCAGGTTAGTATCGGACAATATTGGTGTTGAGATTTATATTTATTTATAAAATTGCAAAGTGATTTGTATTTTGTTTTCTCTCTTTACAGGCTCCTAGCTTCGTCTACTATCCTCCTGGATTCCGTAATATTTTAAACTACATCAAAGAGAAATACAAAAACCCACTTACCTACATTACTGAAAACGGTATGTCACTTTATATATAGTTTCATATTTTGCATTCAAGTTACTATAGAATCTATTAGTATTAGTGTATTTATTAATAAAATGGTATGTTAAAAAATTATCAGGAGTTGCTGATTTTGGGAATCTTACTCTTGCGGATGCTCTTGCCGATAATGGACGAATTCAATGCCATTGTAGTCATCTTTCTTGTCTCAAATGCGCCATCGGGTGAGTTTTGACAGTATACAAGTATTAAGTATATAGAGATCTTTGTTTTTTTTTTTTTTGTTATATGTTAATACGCTGACACTAATTTAAGCACTATCATGTAGGGATGGATGCAATGTAGCAGGATATTTTGCATGGTCATCGATGGACAACTACGAATTCGGAAACGGTTTTACCCTCCGGTTCGGTATGAATTGGGTCAACTTCACCAATCCTGTTGATAGAAGACAGAAAGACTCCGGCAAATGGTACTCTACGTTCATCGCTAACTAATAGGAAGGGGACCTTTCTATTTAAGTTAATTTCTTATAAGAAAAAAATCCTAAATAAGTAAGTGTATAAGATAAGCTGGGTTTTAATTCTATACTCATTAGCCGTTATAATGAGGAAAGCGTTGTCAACTTGATTTGGCTTACTAAATCAAGTTAATTAATAAAGTAAAATAAAGTTATTATGAAATCCTGTCTTCCAGAGATGTCAGTAAACCAATTTATCATGGTTAAGTGGTTCAAAAAAAAAAATCATTTTACGGTCGAGGGGACAAAAATTCGAATTACTGCGATTTAAAATGTATATCCAGTTATCCACATTGATCACTTAACGATGATTAAAATCGCAATAATTCGAATTTTTGTCCCCTCGACCTTAATTAGAATGATATTTTTTTTAACCACTTAAACCATGAGAAATTGGTTTACCATGATAATGAACCACTAATGATGATTAAATGGCAAATATATTTTACACTTTTCAAGCTCTTTGGACACGTTTGGATTAAAAATGCGATTGAAAACGGTTGACGCGGTTAAGACGTGGTTTACTAACCCTACTAGCCTTAACCGTTGAATAAATTCGCTAAAAAAGAAAAGGCTTGTATCCATTTCTTGGTCAAATTCAACAATTTCACACGCACAGAGTTTAATATTCAGTCGATAAGTACATGTATCATAATTGGAGTGATTTCTTAGTGGATTCTAGGTACCTGTCCTTGGCACCCAAACAACCTTCAGCTGTTTCCAGCAGTCTCAAGCAAAGTTGTGACACTTTCTCATTCATCTGCACATCATCAAATCGGCATGTCACAAACGCAGTTTAATTTAATAATTTTAAGTTTTCAGAAAAAAAAAAAGCAAAACTTGGGAGAAAAGAACAGTACAACTAGTGCTGATGATATGCAATTGCAAGCTTCAAGTGCAATGTTCCCGCGAGCAATCTGCAAATAATATAATAAAATTTGAGAGCACAACAGCAAAATTTTGGAATTCATTTCTTACTAGTGGTAGTAATTTTTACCTGTGAAGACTCTTGCTCAATAGCGTCTACAAGTTCACCAACAACTAGCTGAGTCCACGAGACAAGTTCATTCTTGTATGATGTATCACCAAAGAACAACACATCATTTCCAATTATCTGCCAACAAAAACAAGTAAAAACCAAACTCTTCTTTAACATTAACTTTAGATTTTTATATCCAGCAAATAGGCTTCCCAGACCAAGGCATTTCGGCAATATCAATAAATCTTTGCATGTAATAAGATGATCAAAGCCTTTTTAAAGGCACACTAATACCTCTGGATTGGCAGAACGGTAAGGTAGTTTTTCCTGAGAAAGTGTTGATGACAGTGAAATTATGGCACAGAATATCTTCACCTTCAATCTCGGCATTGCCCTACAATATCACGAAATGTCACACAACCAAAAAGGCATACGGGGCGGCAAAACGTAAGAGGTAAGGAAAAAAGAATAAAAGGCATAAAAACAGAAGACAAAGAAGCGAATGTATGTCCATTTTGCATATCCAATGTGTGCATCTAGGTAAGTATAGTCCTTTGGAGAAGCATACCATGAACTAGAGCAAGTAGCAGAAAAGATTCTCTTAAGGATTTCCATCACGCCTTTCTCAGGATTACCTTCCAATTGAATATACAGAACAAAAAAATCTCAGTTATGAAGCTCTGAAGAAATAAGGACAGACGAAAGCAATCTAGTGGAAAGAATCATATCTAGACTGTTGAGCAAAAGCAATCCAAGAGATTCAACAATTTACCTGGGACAATTACCAAGAGGCTGCACAATTTGCATACCACCGAGGCAATACTATCTCCATCAATTGATTTTAAACCTGATAGAAAAAAAAATCTACAAGATATTATACCATCAAAATATTAAATACATATCTATTTTACAGAACGATAAGACTTATACATCTATCGACAGAGAAAAATAAATGTGTACGCCTACCACTGACCTTGAATCGTAAATTAGCTATAAAATTTAAAGCAAGTGTTCTCTTCGCAGTTACCAGTTTTAGGGTGGCTACAATTAACAGACTAGTTTATTGCTTCTCGCTTGTTAATCTAGTATCAAGTAGTTAAATTAGTTAAACATTTCTTGACAAATAAACTCACCATCTGTCGCCTCTATATTCTCTAGAGACTCAACAGCTGACATGACCAGTCCATCGGAATGAGAAATCAAACCACCTAAAAGCGCAACCTTTAAAACATATTTCAGTACGTATATACTTCGAATTTTGAGTGCAAAGCAATAGAAATAAGACAAAGACACACCTCAGCAGTTTCGAGATATAGATTTAAGAGTTTTGTGGGAGTTGAAACAGATGGAATGGTAACTTCGCTGAATGCTAAGCAAGATTTTATAAAGTTGGTATGCTTCTTTCCTGCTTTTAGTGCTTTTACAGCCAACGTGTTGCTTGAACGGACAAGTGTCTCCTGCAGCCAGTGACCATAACACAGTAAAAATGATCACAACTTTGAGCGAAGCAAAAGTTTGATAATTTATGTTTGTGTCAAGCTCTAATGCAAATAAACAAAGAATACCACACCCATAGCAAGCACAAAACAATATTTTTTGCCCTTGTTCCCCCTCCATAGTTAATATCTAATATTCTATGTACTCCTCTCTTTCTCTTCTCATTATGAGTACTCAGTGTTCCTCTTTCTCATCAACGTACCATTTCATTTTAGCCAAAGTTTGTGGTAATTTATAGAGCTTTCACCTAATTCATATTATGTTGCAAAGTCCTGTATGGCTGCCTTGCAATCCCGTGCACTTGCCGACCAGATAAATAACATGTTATTACGTACCACTTTAATTATGCATCAGATGACAGATACATTGCTGCTTAGCGCTCAAATTTAAGGCTAAGCATGAGTCATGACTAAGAAAGAAAGGACTAGATCATAGATATGCACCATAATTAATTAATTACCTCATAATCAAACTCTAGTTAGAAACAAGAGAACGCACAAGACTGGAACTATACAGGGTCCTCTACAGGTATAGGAGTATTTAAAGTTAAAACTGATACCAAAGAACAATTAGTTTGTTGCTGACCTTAAGTTCATGTATCCCATTAAAGGCCTCACGACACTCTGCCAAAAACATCAAATGGCGTTCCATTTCTGCCCCATAATCAACCTAAGCATCAACAGTGAAGTCAAAATCAACCAAATTGACACAAAAGAGCAAGTACTCATTGGTATCATAATTTAAGTGGAACTTAGGTACCATCTCAACAAAATGAGAAATTAAATGTGCTGTCTGTAGATTGTCATCATCCTTAATGTTAAGGAAATCTGTGGCATCATAAAGAGCCTGAGAAACTTCAAAAAGCAATTGCACTGTCGTTGGATCACTTATGCAGCCGTTCCTGCTCCAAGGGGAAAGAAACGTATATACATTGCGAAGCAAAAAAAAAAAGGAAAACCAAAACCATAACTATATACAGATCACTCAAAACCATCTTGAAGGGAACTTGGTGAGTCTATGTATTTAAATTTGCAGTTTCAGCCGATCTCTGTTCTAATGCAAATTAATGTTCATCATCTTGACAACTGTTTACAATGGTCTGCATGCCTCATCTAATATGTATGGGATTTTTAATTCACATTAAGAACGATGGAAAACGAACAAGCTTACCTAGTACCCATGTTAAGAAGATGCATGTTAACACTGATCTTTGAAGTCCCAGACATGAGATCCAAAATCTCGATGAAATGATTCTACAAGGTAACCAAAGAAGTCATTCAAGGCCTTAGAAAGCGGCTCATTTGGGTGCTGCGTATTGTTTCCTGAAACTCAAAGCCTGAAAGTTGATAAAGGAAAGAGAGAAGAAAGTATTACCAGAGGAAGTACTTCTTGCAAGTCCTCGAAATGAGAGAGCAGCTTCAAAAATATGGATTGCAAACTTGCTTGTTCTTCTTCAGAAAGAAATTTGTCGCGAGCTAGAGTTGCAATATCATCTAACAGAGCATCCAGATGATTTTCCTGAATTCATTGAAACTGATAACTAAAATCCATAGAAACAAGACAGAGGAATTTCATGTACAAAAAACTGAAAAAGCACTCAAACCTCACCATCTTGTTCTGCAACAACAAATCCACATATGCATCCATAATTCTTAAGTAGTCATATAGCGTCTGATACTGAGAAGCAACCTGTTGCAATAATCACACCTAAATGTCAGCTTGTTGCAATAGTCACGCCATCTTTCTCTTTACCATAGCTTTTGTTAACATATTATTATGCAAATCATTATTCAGGAAGGACTAAGATGCATCTTTTGGGATATAATGTAGATATATGTTTATGTCAGTATGCCACCAACAGCGCAGAGAATGAAAATTTTATATATGAAGATGAATTCTTAATTTTGTTGAAAGAAATAGGAAACACCAAAACCTGAATAACTTCATTGATGAGTGAACTGAGAAAACCTGGGTGATCTCTCCCTTCACACAATCTATTTCCAAGTAACCTGTAATTCAAAATCTGCTCAACAAAGTAGTACAACATAACAGGAAGGGTCAGACTTACTCAATGGATGCCATAGCTTATTAAATTTGAAATGAGGAAACAACCTGACTGAATGAACAATCATTGCTGTATTTAATCATATGCAGGATCTCCGTAGCTTTTGAACTAACTAATTCAGATGGAAGTTCCTTGAGTAGATAATGTAGTAAAATGGACACACGTGAAGAGTTGGTTGACGAGTGGGATTTATTCCTTCCAAATCCAAGCTCCTCAAGCATGCCCAAGACATTGTTCTCCTGTACACTAACAAATATTTAGGAGAACAATCAATTCATCACAAATCAAGGAAAGATTAATGGCACGCATTTTCTGCCCCAGCAATCTACCATTTGTAGAAAAATTCAAAAACGCGAAAGTATCAATCGTAATACAAAACTAATTATAAAATTGATTTACTGAACATCGTTGGAAATTGGGTTCTAACCAACAACGAAAAAATTGGAGCAATGCATTCAGTCACTAACTGGTCGAGAACAGTTGCTAACCTGACGTCCACTCAGCAATAAGCATTTCACTATATACTCAATGGGTGGTTCCATCAAACTAAAAA